CTGGATACACAAATAATTACAGTAAAGAATACACCTTAGAAATTCCAGCAACTCAGATTTATTCAGAACGAACATTTTCAGTCATTTATAAGCCTTTCTCAAGTTGTTCTTAATCAAACATTAATACATAAAATACATAAAAGAACAAGAGGAAATAGTATTTTTAAATCATAGAACATAGAAAATCACTATATTAAATCATAGATTTAATATAGGCCTAGTGATTTTCTTTGTGTTTATATATTTGGCTCTCCATCATTAAATTGTTAGAATTTATCAAAATAGTCAGTATTGATTTTCATATTTCAAAGCTATTTTTTGCCAGGAAAAATGTTATAACCTAATTTAAGAAATTAAAATTAAACCTAAATTTAAATTTAGTAATAATGAAACTTGCAAAAAAATGCATTATACATTACAAAAAAATATAATTTTGCTTATAATTTTTAAATCAATATTTTGAGAATTTATATTATCTAAAAAATACTATATAATGTAATTTAAAAATTTTCAATTAAAATTAAATTTATCAATATTATTACTACTATTAAAATTTTTAAATTAGGTTATACAATATTTCCTAATGGAAAAAGAAGAAAATCATATTGAAATGTAAAAGTCAATATGCCCTTGCTTATTACTATAATATCATTTAATAATTTATTATTTTGTTCAGCTTTTTTTTAATAAAATTTAAAATTTGTAGTAAAAATTATTGGTAAAATTTAAACAAAACTCAAAATTTGAAATAAATAGGCCTAGACTAACTTCAGATTAAACTTTACTAGAATTTGTCAGGGAAATATGAGTAATATCTAATGTGTACAATCAAAAGATAAAATTATCTTTAGAATGTACACATTACCTAGATATATTAACATTTATATCACACTCAAATTAGCATATGTTGATTAAATCAATAAATAGAAATAAAAGTTATAAAACACCATTCTTACAAAAACATTTTGGACAAAATAAATTATAATTATTGGCTCTACCTGGAAAACATGTTAATACATGAATAGGAACGTATCCATCCTTACAAGCACATCTGTTTATTTTTAAATCACACCATCCACCAACAACTTTGCACCATTCATTGTTTTCACATTTCTCATTTAGTATTCTTGTAAACAGAGAACTAAATATGAGTAAATTCCTAATTAAAAACTACTAAAAACTTTTAATTTTCTTTAAAAAATCTAAGTAAAAAAATTAATACAAAATTATGTAAACAAAACAAATTAAAAAATATTTAAGTTTAAATTTGTTTTGTATGTATTTATACTTTTTAATAAAATAAAATTATTATTAAATTTATTGCGTGTGTGAGGCAATTGGATTTTGCAGACATTATTATAAATGTACCATTATAATAATTTAGATTTATATAAAAATAAAATTAATGAAAGATAAAGTTGTTTTAAATGCACAATACATTAAAATAACAAAAGTTCCAAGTCATTTTTGTACAACAAAAATAAAATAAGATAAAATACGTCATTGAAAAATACAAGAGGTTTTTAAATAAAGTTAATTTAGATCTTGTGTAAAATCCACATATCATAATAAAAACAGTTCTTTGGCAATGCTTGTTAAAGTAATATGTGGAAAAAATCACTTTCAGCTTTATTTAAGCCATCTTCAATTTTAAAACTTGTTCCAATAATCATTACAAAATTTAAAAATAAACTAATAAAAAAAAATCAAATTTTTTCATTCAATTCTTTTAATTATGTGAAATTCGAATTTCTATCTAATTTCCTAAATTAATTAATCCTGTGACTAGGGAAATGAACTATGAAGTTCATGGAAATTTTATAACCCGTCCTATCAAAAACACACATTTTCACACTGTAACAGTATAAAGTTTACACTTACCGGCTGAATTCATCATTTGTTTTCGTCCTGACAACTTTAACCTCCAACAATCAGTTTTGTGATATGTCTTCCCACCATGAAGTTATAAAAGCCACTTCTTCTCCCTCCTTGGGGAGAGTCGCTGGTCATTAGTCAGAGGATACAAAGTGTCAAAGTCACGGATATTGTTCTTCTCCATAATTGCAATTTTACTACCTAGTGTAGCCTAACCATAAAATCTTGTGCCATAACCTGGGACCATTTTTGGGACGACTTTTATAAGGATATCCCTCTGAGATTTTCCAAGAAGTATGAAAGTTCATTATTGTAAACTCTCTCTCTCTTGGTCTCTCTGCGCATTAGAAGGATAGTGTGTTAGAAAGGAATTTAGTGGAGTTAGAGTTGTAACTTTTTACTTTGGTTGACTTTAATAAACCTTGTTTTGTTATAAATGGTGTCTTTACTCAACTGTTGCCAACGTCTTATCGTCGACCCTCCCTGACTCTCCTCCACCCGTGTAATGCATAACAAAACGTAACTGCCATCCTAGACAAGAGAATAGGTCAACGACCTGTTGCTGGCAAGGATAATCCACCTCCAACCTCCTCGGCGGCTCACAATTAGTTTATCTCAAAATTATTTTAAATTCTATAATGTTCTTTGAAACAAGCCGTAAAACTGAATATGGCTTACATAAAGCGGAAAATAGTTGGTTTCCTTAACAAGCAGTGTTTAAGAACTGTTTTTAATCTGTATCATTTTAATAATAAATTTAAGTTTATTAAATTATGAATTTTAAATCTCAATATTTAAACTAATTCAACTGATCTAATTGAATTCAATACTTATTTTAACTAAAAGAAAAAAATTTTAACAAAAAGCTTTCTGCACAGTTGGGTCATGTCATTTAGATCAGTGATGCCCAAACTTTTCAATTGGCAGACCAAATTACATACAAGTTGTATGTAGGTAGGCCACAAATATTTTGTATATAAAAAATAAGTCTATTTCCATCATCTATAGGTCATATGTGAAATATGTTTGCAGGCTGAATTAATGTGTGCCATGAACCAGATTTAGCCAGAGGCCATAGTTTAGACACCACTGATTTAGATAATAACAATTACAATAGTATATATATTTTCTAAGTTCATTAACAGTTGTTAAATATATGAATTCAAGCAATTATGTATATTGGAAATGATCAGAAAGATTTTTATATATTTTCATTCATTCTTTTATCTCCAACTTACTTTTTCATTTTGACCAAAGAGAAAACATTTCCAAACTGCAACAATAACTCAAATTGCACAGAAACTTAATTGGAAGACAACTCAATAAAGTTTTGCCTAAGTGCATTGCATGTATTACACTATACCCATGACATTTTTGATAGGTATGCATCTTGTCTCATTTCTGGTATCCAACCACTTTATTTACTATTATCTCCTTAACTCGTCACCATGCGCCCACAGTATTTTAGGCATCAATCAATTTTTAATTAGTTAACATAAAAATTTCAATTGTTTGAAAAATCTGAAAAAAATCACAACCTGACTAATTTTTCTTTAATTTTACGATGTGCAATTCAGTTTTTGCTTAAAGCATTTCATTATTTTTATTTAAGAATTGACGTCAAATCAGTACTATAGCACGCATGATCTTATTTCAATTTTTCCTCCAGTTGCCATCACTAGCAGTGCAGTGGCTGGCAAAAATAGCCACCGTGGCAGTGCGTGCTTCTTCACTCATTTTACAGCAAATAACTTCTAAAGAACTCAAATTTGAACCAGAAACAATTTAATTTTTTCCATTGGTATTTTTTAATCATTTTATAAAGTTTTATGACACTGTGTCCCGTATAATTTTTGTATTTTTTTTTTAATTTTATGAATGTAAAAATGCAAGGCAACTGTAATATATAAATTAAAGAAGTTTCGTTTATTAAATGAAATATGGGTAGACATTATATAAACTTATTCATTAAAGGTATCTCTTTATGGATTAATTTTAATTTTTCTAATCAAATAAAATTTTTATTTATACTTCATTCAATGCATTGATTAACAATGGCTGCATTCAGCAGACTCAACAGTTGTAACTGAGCAAATCATTAGCCATTATGTGGCAACCTGGATCTGCCAAATGACGAGTGACATTGCATTGGAACAAAAAGCCTTGGTTAGTTTTAGCTAGTAATAGGTAGCGTAAACAAAAGATGCTACCAAATGTGATGTCAAAACACCAAACATGTTCCAAACAAGCGCTACTGTTGAGGGCGTTCAGCGGAAAAATACTCAACAGCTCCGGAACTGTCAAGTCTGCTGAACGCAACCAATCATTAATAAAGCTTATCACAAATAACTTGTTTATGCAAAAATAACATTCAAACCAAAGAAAACTATTTTTATAAGCTATTAATTAATATGCAATTTGTTTTTTAATTTGTAAAAATTGATGTTTAATTTGTGCTAAAATATGTATTTTAGCACAAATTAAACATCAATTTTTACAAATTAAAAAACAAATTGCATATTAATTAATAGCTTATAAAAATAGTTTTCTTTGGTTTGAATGTTATTTTTGCATAAACAAGTTATTTGTGATAAGCTTTATTAATGATTGGTTGCGTTCAGCAGACTTGACAGTTCCGGAGCTGTTGAGTATTTTTCCGCTGAACGCCCTCAACAGTAGCGCTTGTTTGGAACATGTTTGGTGTTTTGACATCACATTTGGTAGCATCTTTTGTTTACGCTACCTATCACTAGCTAAAACTANCATTCATTCTGCACACAAAGTTATTTTCAAAGAAATAAAATAATTTTACTAACAAAACGCACCTTCACAACACCAATTCATAAGAAAAGCGCCCTCTACCAATTACTACTTCCAGTAGATTTCTCGTCACGATTTCGTCATTATAATTTTAATTAATATCGTATAATTAATGTTTATTCTATATATATATTATTATTATTATTAATGATACCTATGATAACTTTGTTTTAAAATTTACACAATTCACTTTTCTAAAAAACCGAACAGTTTCTCGATTTAAACAGATGATCTCTTGTTAACTTCAGTAAAAATTATCTATGTGTAAATAAATTTTATTGGAAACTCGTTAATAATAAATTATTAAAAAACGGTATAAGGAGATATATTGTAATTATAATAAATGAACACATTTTGAATATGAGAAACAAACTGTTGTCATAGTAACACGTTATTCAATCAATTACAGTAAGGTGTGATGATGTTTCAGAAAAACGATAACTACTCTTTAGAAGGAAGTTGTTCTGCTTTATCTAATAATTTATGCGTATATAAAGAAAATGAAAAAGTCTACCTCAGTTGTGTACATAAATCATCTGTAAATTTAATGATAATTAATTCTGATGGAAGTTCTTTATGTCATTTGATTTCTTTAAAAAAATCCTCTTTTAACTTGCCTTTTATTTTACAGGTTAAGATGTTTTCTATCTACTAATAACATAATAATGTATCCTTTTTTAAGAATTAATGAAAAGATGATTTCATAATGCTTTCTTTTATAAGTATCAATAGGATTTTTAGATAGTAGAGTGTGATTAATTTTGTTTGTGTTGAGTAATGAACTTGTTTGGTTATCTACATTTTAAAATGGTAAATAAAAAATTTGATGATTTATGTGATTTAACAGAAATTAACAAGATTTTATGTGATGGACCCATATCTAAGGCCTCAAAGAATAAACCAAGATTATGATTTTTCGAGAAAGTCCTCTCGAAGGCAAAGCTTCTTGATTCAAGGCCCTTCCAGAAGAATAATCGCAGGCCCTAGAGCCTGTGATTATCCTTCAAACTTTTCTGTTTTTCTATCACTCCTAGCTTGATGTCTTGATTGATTATATTTTATTTTATATATTTGAAAATACACGAATTGATTTTCTAGATTTTAAAATTAAAGTTTTATTATACAAATTCTGGCCTGAGTTTGGCTTCTTCCTTTTGTTTGCCCTGTTGATATCTTTCTAAGTTTGTAGACCATCTCTATATGAGCAACAAACTAAAAGTTATGGCCTGAATATGCCATTTGAATCTCACTTTCTTCGGTGAAGAAATAATTTGCAAAAATTGATTAATAAAATTTAAAAAATAAAAAGTTACTTCAAGAGATATAAAAATGCTTAAATGCCATTATTTTCAAGAGAACTAAAAATATTGTGAAATGAATTGTTAATGTGATATTATTTTCTGACATGCATTTAATGAAGAGAGTTGATTCTGCAGAATACATCACAGCAAAATTAAGTACTTTACAAAATTTATATAATAGACTTTCGAATTCTTCCTAGATTATTTGAATTGAGAAAATTACATTAAGATATTGAGTTATTTAATACAATTAAAACTTTTAAAAAAAATAAAATAAAATAAACAATAGGAATTTAGATAGAAATAGAAAAATAATCTTTGGATGCATAGGAAGGTTTCTTGGACTCGTAGTTCATTTTAATAATTAAAATGAACTTTGAGCCATATCTATATGAAAAACAATTATTGTTTTTCATATACAGTAATATCTCAACTTATGCTACCCCGACTTACGCGAACCCGGAGTTACGCGATTTTCAAATCTTGTCGATTTGTCTTTTGTTTGAGAGCCACGCAACTCTTGATTACTCATCCCCCACACTATTGTTCAGCTTACATGTTTGGACATGTTGCGCGGAATCGACACATAGCTACAATTTATTTTGTGTTATTTATTTCTGTATTTGTTATATCTACAGAGACTTGAGAGACTCTATGTGGTGAAATCAACGTTACACTATCCGGAACCTGTGACCAGTGCTCTACGCGTATATATTGTATATCGCTTGACAAACGTTTTCGAGCGATCTGTTCTCTCTTCTTCAGGTCGACTGAAAATTCCCCGGACGGAGTGTATATTATTTGTTGGGATCGGGTGTTGGTTCTCACTGGGTTAATCGTTTCTGGCATGCGCGGTTGTGTGGTGGGGGAGGAAACGGCAGGTTGGCATCTAACAACGATTGCCAGGCCAGAGACAGGGTTAGCTCTTCCTTCCAGTTAATGCAGGTGGCTAGTGGCCGGCTAGCTCTTCCTTCCGGTTAACGCAGGTGGCTAGCCGGCCACTAGCCACCTGCGTTAACCGGAAGGAAGAGCTAACCCTGTCTCTGGCCTGGCAATCGTTGTTAGATGCCAACCTGCCGTTTCCTCCCCCACCACACAACTGCGCATGCCAGAAACGATTCACCCAGTGGGAACCAACACCCGATCCCAACAAATAATATACACTCCGTTCGGGGAATTTTCAGTCAACCTGAAGAAGAGCGAACAGATCACTCGAAAACGTTTGTCAAGCGATATACAATATATACGCGTAGAGCACTGGTCACAGGTTTCGGATAGTGTAACATTGATTTCACTCCGGTGCTGAAAGTAGAACAGTTCCTATACTCTATGTGGTGATTTATTGTAACCGTGAACAAATCAAAAGACGAGATAAGATTAACAAGAACGTTTATTAGCTTACATACATCCAACTTGGATTTTACACAAATTGCAAAATTATACCCCAACTTACGCAAATTTGACTTACGCGGTTATTGCTCACTCCCACCTATCGCATAAGCTCAGAGTATTACTGTAGATATGACTTAAAACCATCCTAGAGACTGATAATACTTAGCAGAGGAAAAAAAACCTTATCCTGATATTTTAGTATTCTATTACACAGGAAACTAATTTTGTATCTATCATTTACATCTTTTTTATTAATGTTCAATATTCATTAATTATAATTTGTCATGATTTTGTTTAAAGATAAATAAGAGTAAAAATAAGAATTTAGTTAGTAAACTAACTTTTCACTAAATTTTAAAACAATTTTATAAAATTGTTTTAAAATTTTTGTTATCTGTTTTGGCTTATGACAATGTACAATAATATGTTTTGCTAGTGCAGCTTCTAAATAGTATGTGGGATGGGATCGTTTGTTAACTGAAGATCTTAAAGGCCAGGCAAGTTTATGCATTTTAACCTCAAAAAATAATTTAGGACAAGTAACATTTATTAGTTACTTGTCCTAAATTTACGTGTTTTTCTTAATATTGTGGATGTTGGCATATCGCAGATAACATTTGTTCTATGCAAAAATTAAGACTTCCTATCAAGAGCTAATGAATTCCTCGAACAATCCAAGTCTATTATACTAAAACAGGATTCTACATCCACAATATTAAGAAAAACATGTAAAATCATAACACTTCCTAAAATTGTAGCTTCCTTAGACAGTCCTCCCAATCCACCAACGAATGTTGCTTGTCCTAGATTATTTTTCAAGGTTAAAACGCATAAACCTGACTGGGCTTTAAGACCTTTAGTCAATAAATGATCCCATCCCACATACTATTTAGAAGCTGCACTAGCAAAACAAATTACTGCTTTAATTCCACCTTCCGAATTTGTGACCACATCCTCTATGGATGCACAAGTACAATAATATGAAGTAAAACTATAAAAGTACAGTACATTGATGGATAAACCATAAAAATTTATATTTTTCTAATACAGGCATACCTCGACTTACGTCGGTTTCGAGTTACGTCGTTCCCGATTATACGTCGCTTGTTAAAAAAGTATATGGAAAAATAAAAATCAAGTTTAAGTCATTTTATTCGACTTTACGTCTGTCCGCCACAAATATTGAAGTCGTAATATCACTAGATAAACGTTTAAAGCACATAAAATCATATTAAAATATATACAAGTATGTACTGTATTTACAGTACACGCATTCGTAAATTTAGATTACTTTTTTTGTACTATATTAAAAACTAAAATTTATTTGTTTGTAAGCTTAAAATAGATTTTTATTAACCATATATTATTTAAAATGCTTTCCTAGTGATAAGTAGATTCGGAGACAGGTAAATTCGACTTACGTCGTTTTCCTGGAACCAATTACCGACGTAAGGCGAGGTATACCTGTATTCTTAGATTAAATGGGCAAATGGCAACTCTGTCATCAGATTCTTAAATTTTTAAAAATAAAATATTATAAATTTTCAGAAATATCAGATAATTTTTATTATTCACAAAATTGGTAACTTTAAAATGAAGTACAATTTGATATTTGTTAGTGGATATCTAATTTATCTGTATTTGTAAGTTATTTTTTCATCTGTATCATAAAACAATGATTCTGAAAGTTATATCATACACAGACACTTAAGATAACATATACTAGGCTATCTTAAGAGTAATTGTTAAGATGCTTAATTTCCTCACACACCAAGTTGAATATAAAATCGACTTACTTAAACCAAATAACCGGAGAACATAAACGTTCCGGTTATTTGGTTTAAGTAAGTTGATTTTAATTGTTAAGATACTGAATTTTCATTTAAAGTCATATTTTAATTATAGACAAAATGGATTAAAATTAAAGAAGTAACTATTCTAGTAATTGCTTCGGAAAGAGGTATTCAGGTAATATTTTGGCTAAATTTTTCTTACTACTAAAAGTAAAGTATTGACAAATTAACTTAATTTTTTTTAAAGGTTTTTGACCAAACTGGTAAAATATTAATTTATTCTTATGCATTACCTGTGGATGTTGATGAAACAACTGAAGGTAAATGTTATAAATATGTCATAATTTTCTGCAAATAACCTGCTGGATATATGTGTATTTAAATACACTTTGAAAGTGGTTGGGTACTTTGGATACTGGGGATTATCTATCAATTTTAAATTACAATCATGACCCCAACAACTTTTTCTTTTTTTAAAGTTATTAAAAGCATCATAAAAAATTGTGAAAAATTTTTTATTTACTGGATATATTTATCTGCCATTGCAAATTTTCTGGAACCACTAAAGATATTTATACAATCTATGCTTAATGTTTAGTTTTCTCTCATTTTGTTTATGTCAAGCAGATTTTCTACTTAAGTTTTTCAAGTTAATTTTAGCATTTATTATTATTTTATATATTTATAGTCCATCAAACAAAATTCAAATTTTCCAAAATAGTTTTTTTTATGAGTGGTTAATCAGTTTCATTACTATAAAGTGAATTGTGAAGACTAAAATAATTGTTTTATAAGATTATCTTTAGCTCACCTATGTAATGTTTCACTTTGTTTACACGTAACAATACTGCCATTGATCATTTTGATTTATTTACTTCATTTTTTAAACTGTACAATGTAATTCTCTGTTTTATATTAATTGAAGTAATATTCATATACAATTTAAAGTAATACAGTAGAACCTTGAAAACTCGGCTCTCGATAACCCGGCACTCCGGATAACTCGGCCACACCCTGGCAGGGCAAAAAAATCCTTAGTTAATTAATTTTCATTATAGACAGCTTTATAAAAGTATAAAAGCTCTCATAAAGTATTTTTCTGAGGTCTGTCTTATCATGTAAATTACTGTACACAGTGTATTCATTAATTTTCATTTTCATGTAGTAAAGGCTCTATGCCTTCATAAAGGACGTACTTTTCCTTTGTTTAAGGGTATTTGGGCAGTTTATTCTCTGTTATATTCTCAAGTAAACAATACATACATGTACAGTACAGTATTTTCTGAGGAAACGCTCGTACTTATTTTTTTAACCCCATTCCCGATAACCCGGCATTTTCACAAACTCGGCCACTCTTCGGTCCACATTAGGCCGAGTTTTCGAGGTTCTACTGTATTTGATATCGTCAAATTCAGTGAATCCTGGTAACAAATTGTGATTTATTGGAAATAAAGTTTGTTTTTCTGGAATCCAAAGTTTGTCAGTATTTCAAGGAACCCATTTTTTGCTTATCTTAGACCAACATCAGCTTATATATACAAATGTTTGAAAAACGGAAATCCATTATGAACTTGCTACAAATCTAAAAAAATATTTATCTTTTTAACTTATAAATGAATTACATAAAAAAATAGCATTTGTGCAATAATGAAAGCAATAATTAGCTAATAAATGCTAACATTTTTCTATTATATAAATATATATTATATAAATAAAGTGTATGATGAAATTGTTTAAAGCTGTTATCAAATAATTTTCAAGTTAGAAGACGGTAGTAAATTAAATTTCCATGTAACATTTTCTAAACAGAAATTGGATACCATTAAACTAAAATAGAATTTTAGCATTCTATTGTCTGATAACTACATCTATAATTGTCAAGCAACAGGAAAATATACAATGGAATCCATCCATCCATCCATAAGAGGAAGTTCATCTTTTATTGAACAGGAATTATTGGCTGCAATTTGAAAAAACTGTAGACCTATAAATTCTCACTTCCTTCCATCATTCTGTATGTCTTTCCTTAATCTCTAGAACGGAGTTAGATAGATGAAAGACAAGACCAGATATGGAAACCTTAGGGGCAGGAGGCCCCAATTAACTATATATGAACTTCTGATGCAAACCGGAAGTCATGTTATTTCAATTCAAAATTTTGTCCCTGATAGATGTTAGATAGATGACTGGCATAACTATTGTTAAAGGAAAAGTATGATGTGCAGGGACAAGTCACTAATTTGCAGTGGAGAGAATATATTTTAAATTAAATAAATTAAAAATATGATTAAAAATTGTAGTTCAGCATTGTGAAGATGTCACAATAAGTAATTGCTCATTAGCATTATTATTTTCAATAGTTAATGCAATATAGATGTTAGGATCTTAAATAATCTGTTTTTTCTGTTTCACTTATTTTGTAATAATGTTACAATGAGTTGCTAACAGAATTATAAAAAAAAAATCTGGGGAAAAAATGGATAATGCCTTGGAAATGTACTATATTTTCATCATCATCTTCAGAGGTGTGGGATATAAAAATTTTATTTTCATTTTAGCAATTTTCTGCTTAGAATATGCAGCTGCGGGTGTTATGCAGGAAATTACATACTTAAAGTTATAAAAATATTTATTTGTTATACTAATGATATTTATATATTTATTTTCAGCTGTCTTTACTAGAGGAATTGCCAGCTGTTGTGATACTTTCTTCTGTGTGGGTAAGATGATTTAATGTTTAAAATAATAGAACAAATAATATTGTTGTCCAAGTTTCTCAGCTGAAGTATAAAAGCAAAAAAGTATTAATTATTCTTGAGGAATATTTAATTCAGTAATTCTATTAGAAAGATATAATTTTTCACATACAGGAAATCCTCATTAGTTTGAAATTCAAAGGATGAAATAATTGTGACATTAACTTATTGAGTTTTGAAATATCCAAGATTTACATATTTCTGTACAATATGTCAAATGCCATGTAACTAATATAATTTATTAAGCAAATGGAATACAGTTATGTATATAGAACACTATTTTCATTAATTAATTAACAATTATTAATAATAATAGTAAAAATAAACTGCAGGTAAATAGTACATGTCTGGTGAGAACCTCACAGGTTGCCAGATAGGTTTTATAAAAAGTAAAGCAGAATTCCTGAAAATGTAGCTCAAACTATTTTTAAAAAGTAACCCAAAATCAGTAATTCATCTAAATCTAGTAGCATAGATCCCTTCAAATATCTCAATCTGCTACTTGTAGTCCAATCTTGCAAATCCAAAACCCAGCCATATTTTATGAGATAAGAGAAAAAAAGGTAGTCCACGGGTATAGTGACACCCAAAAATATGTTACTGTAAAACAAAGTCATGTTGACCAGATTAGAGTTGTTCTTGGTATATTGTTCTCTTATAGTATGGAGGCACTTCAGTCTAAGTGAATGAGTTAACATATGCATATCACAGTTTGGACTGAATTTTCACTTCAAATTTCAAAAAAGTAGCCATATTTTGAACTAACCAAATTCCTTAACGTGTAAATCTCTACATTTCTGGCCAAGACAAATAGTACAGTAATGAACTAACAGGATTTCAAACTATCCGAGTTTAAATTAATGAGAATTTCTTGTAGTAGATGATTGTAATTAAAGTACTCCTATTCAATGCTGTCTATAGAGATATTTAGTAATTCAAATCCAACCAGATCTCATATGGTGACATTTCAGGACATGAAGAAGACATTTTCATAAAAAGAAAAATTAGTACCAAAACACATTGCTATATATTTTGTCAATATAAGAAACAAACATTATTTGTAGAAGATGCTCATGCCATGCAAGGGATACTGCTCATTGTGATCCTCAGTCTGAAGGTATAAAACCAAAAGGTGATGAACAGTGGTTTAATGGCCAATTGTAATTGATTTCTGGAATGCTGCTCACATGCAGTATGATAGTATCTTTCATGGCTGCCAAATTTACAACATACCCTCAATAAACCACATCTTTTAAGTATCTCCATAACCAATAACTATTATCAGTAAAATTTTTTGCAGAAACTTGTATACAGCATTCTATACTATTTTGGAGGCACACTATCTTGCATGAAGCTGATTGACTGAAGGCATTGCTACTGTTGCAGTTGGGGTAAGACAAAAGTGTTGAACATCTCTCAATATCTGGAGCTAATGGTCTGTTACAGAGCATGTCACAGACTCATTAGCTTCTTCAAAGAAGAATGGTCTTAAGATAAATGTGACTGTGAATCCATACCAGACTGTAACTTTAGACAAATGCAATGGAATCTACTGGAAACTATTAGAGTTCTCTATGGCCCAAATGTGACACTTAAGCATGTTCACTGTTCCATTGAGGTGAAAATGTACCTTGTTGCTTAACAGATTTCTATGGCCCTGACACATCCTATCCATTCTGGTAAAAATTGTCAATACAAAGATCAGTCAAGTTTCCCTGTTAGTAGTAACTGTTGGTTGTGACTGATAACAATGCAACAGCCTTCTCAGTATTCATTACACTGCCATAGGATACACACAACTGCTCTGAGACTGCAAGTACATTTACTGAAGTCTGCAACATTATTCATTGACTGTTCAACAACAGTCTCATCAACTTGTGAAGTGATAATAGATTTGCTCTCTCAACCAGTTAAATTTTCAGATGTTCACTTTCTTCAAATTGAAGGATCATTCCTGATAGTTTGTGGAGTCAATGGTCCCCAATGTTCTTGCAATAGTGAAATTTCTGAAATGCAGCTGCAGAATTCTTGTTCTTATAAAACAGCTTCACAAGAAATGTGCTTTCTGGCAAGATGATGGCTATCAGAGCTGATTATGTATGGGATTCAATAGTTGTTAGTGCTTTATGCCCATAGCTTGGCTATAGTATGTGTGCTTATGCAAAAGAAACTTTTTTGTTGTTTGCAGTGCTGAAAGTGTCATAGTAATTGAGTTTTCGTATTATTTTTATGTAAATTTCTTCTGCATGTCCTGAAATGTCACTCACCATACTAGATTTGGTTGCATTTGGACTGTTAAATATCTCTCTAGAGAGTGTTGAATAGAGATACTTTGCATGTAAAAAAATGATTCAATGAACTTAGCTATTTATAATTATCTTTGAAAATATTCTGACACCTATTTTTATATACATTCAAAAGTTTGATAATTTTTTAATCATTAAATTATAGTTTGAAAATCTGATTTAATCTGCATTTATTATTTATTTACATTTAACATTTTTTATGAATAGTTTAGTTAGAATAAATTTTTTTTTTAATTTGAACATATCTTAATCATTCTTAGTTATCAAAAAATTCATATTAAACAATGAAAAAATTGTCATATACTTTAATTCAAATTCTTTTAATTCTTATCATTAATTCAAAAAGCATTTTTCTTTTTCTAGGTACCAGTAAAGGAGAGATTTTAATCTTTCAAAGTGCTGATGAAGGAAATTCTATTGATTTAGTAGAAACTATACAAGGACACAATACTCCAATTTCAGATCTGTGTGGAAGAGGAAATAAACTTGTTAGTGCAGATGATGAAGGCAATTTATATTTATGGGAATACAATAATTCTTTAAAAAAGCTTAAAACATTTGAAAAATTTAAGTAAGTATTCTCTTTTAATTTACTAGATTGAACAAAAGTTCATTCAGACTTCCTAAAACGTTTTTAAATCAACAATACATTTCAAACAGTTTTCAAGTACAACTTTAAAATCAGTGAATTTCACTCAAACTTATAAATGGAGGAAAAAATAACCAATTATACAAATTTTACCCAAACCATTATGACACACACAAGAAAATTAAAATGTGTATACAAAACAAAAAAGCACAGCAAAATAATTATGGATTAAATATGCAGGTAAAGACAATTGTAACAGCAAACACTGCATATAAACAATGGCAGAATCCATCAGAAACTGGTACAGTTAAGTTTCTTTACTGAGGGATTAGTACAGAGTTGTAAAATGCCATGAAGTAAACCTGTTCTAGATCCTGTGTGACAAATTATCATTCAGTACTACAAAAATGGAAGTCAGAATGTATAATTGCATATGCCATCCATTTGACATTTTTTTTTTGTGTACTCTCTAAATACAAATTAACCCAAACCAGTTGTTTCAGAAAGACAAACAACAGATATGAATGTGAATGTGAGAATAGTGTTTGTGCCTTGTTCAGCCTGTATGAAAGAAAGCCCACTGAGGAGGGAAATATTGTATTTCCAAAATGCATTTGAATAAAATAAAGTTGTTGATTGGCTAGTTTTTTGGAGACCATGGATGTGGTAATTCCTATAAAATAATAGTGTTTGAACCAGTTACATATTCAAATTTCAAAAAAAAAAAAAAAAAGTAATAGAAGCAGAAGGATAGATAAGAAACTACAACTCATCGTGGGTTATAGGTTTTTTATGATGATCCTTTTTTCATTCAAGGATGAAAGGCTTTTTTTGGGGATGCAAGTTCACCCTTTTCTGTGGGAGAGGTTGGGAAGGAGCTTACATTAAAATTTCAAACCACAGTTTGAAGTGAAGTTGCTCCATTCTGCATGGGAAATATATAAAAACATTTATCTTATTTATTTATTTGATACAATTTATGTAAAAGTTATAATACAAAACATTTTGATGATTAGAATTTTAAGACTTTTTCATATTTTTTGTTTTTGTAAATTTCAATTTAAATATTTATAGATAATAAAACTTTAAAATATTATATATTGAGAGGCAAATAATCCAAATTATAGTTTAAATTTGTCCTCTATATATACTATGCAATAAAATTGAGAAAAAAATTCATATAAGAATTAATTCATATACATTTTATAGCTGTCCTTGCACAAGTTTGGCTTTGTGGAAAGACCTTATATATGCATCATATGCTTCAGGCCAACTACGTATATTTTCTCAAAGTACAGGATCATTATTAGCTGAAGTTGCAGCCCACGCTCGTTGGATAACAGCTGTTGACATTGCTGAAGACTCTGGATTGGCTTTGTCAGTATCTGAAGATTCTTTTGTTAGGATTTGGCAGCTACAAAATGATCAGAATCCAATTGTATGTATTTATAATTACAAAAAGAACTATAGTTTTTATTAATTAAAAGAATAATAAAAAATTAATTCATTAAATTTATAATTTGAACATTTCTTTAGATTTCTCATAGATTTAGCTGTAGAATTACAGACACTCAGCTATGTGGTGGTTGCTTTGCTGATGGTTCTGGAAAAGAATTCTATACTACTGGTTATGAATTGAATGAGGTTATAAAATTCTCTATGTAATAATTTAAAATGAAAATAAATAAACTCAACTATTTTTGCATTATGAAAAAAATTTGTGCACTTTGTTGCATTGTTTGCAGTTATTTGTTAATTAAATTTGAAACTGTAGAAACATAATAGAAATAAAGTTTATATCTGCACTAATTATTTTTTCAATATTTTAAAGTTGTTATAAATAAATGTTTATTAATTTTATAATTGTTTAAATTTATTATTAAATGCACTGTTGACTCTTTATTTTGTGAACAAAAAAAAAAAAGAATCTTTAATATGACTATCATAAATTTGTCTAACAATTAATACAAAGAGACAACTAGATGAGAATAAAAAAGTATAAATTGTCATTGCAGCATTATGTAGCCTCCTTACTATTTAAAGCCAGATGTGTGTGTAAAGCCCTTTATTTTATTTATAATAAATTTACTGCATTGAATTTTAGCTTAGAAGCAGAAAACCTGGAGGCTAGCTGCTGTAGCTGATTACAACAACTAGCATACTAGCTACAGGTACTGTACAACTGCTTCTATCAATAAGGAATTATTCCACAATGTGACAGAGCAACTTCAATAATTAAAAATAAATATTTTTCAATTCAACAAGCTTTAGATAAAATGGCTGTATTTTTTAATCCAAAGCAGGACAGTTTTCATGTTTTTTCCAATTTTGGATATTGTATATCTGATTCTACCTACATTCCTTAACTTTCACTCTGCAATTTATACTGATTACAAGTCAACAAGAGAAAGGTGGTGACATAAAATATACCCAGAAGACAAGACAATAACTGACTTTTTCTCTTCAGATCAGCACTCAATTAAATCTTTGTTAAGACATTTAATTTTTAAACAGCCATTGACCCAGTAACCATGTTACTTGCAAGTTTATATTAACAATTAACTACAATGGACACCAGAGCAAAATATACAGGATACTACAAAAACTGAATTGTAAAAATTGTAAATTCAAGTTGTCTCATGATACACCTCAATCCAATTGCTAAATAATAAATAATGTTTTTGGCACTGTGTCCTCTACTGGAACACATTTGCTGCACAATATTTCATCAATGAGAAAATTTTTTGAATAAGATCTGAGCACTGAGTACTTCATACATTTTCTTACACAGGTTTCCATTACTGGAAGCATCAAAGTTACCTTCACTAGAAACATTGTCTTCAACATTGCAACAATAAATTGTTTTATCGCTTGTCCATACAGCATTCATGTGAGAAATCCTTTCAGTGGGTGGGGACTAAACAAGGAGAGGAAGCTACCATCAGCATCCCTTACATCTTTCCTCTTGTTTCTTTTCACTTTCCTAGGTTTACTCACTGCCCCAGATGGTAGCACACACTTTGGGAATCACTGCTGTAGATCTGTGAGAAGTCAGACTCTATTTTGGGAGTTTTAAATGCTAAAATTATTATAAAGTTATATTCTTTCATTTTTATTTCCCTTCTTTCTCCCGTTTTCACCCCTTTGCCCAGGAAATAGACCTTTTGACCCCTCCATGTACTGCGCCATTTCAAAAGGTAACCTCCTAGATGGGCGAAGTCATCACACAACTGAGGAAGATCTCCCCTCTTCCCAGGATATCACTCGATTATAAGTAACTGCGATGTTCACGTAAATAACCAATTAGCAACAACAGACATATGTTACTGTATAGAGGGTGAACGAAAAGGTCACCTGCAAGGGTAGACCATACTGTGAGAAACTATATCACGTTACCGAGGATGGCCAGTCACTACCCCAAGTGATGACGACTTTAAAGCTAACTGGTCAAGAGATGACGAAGTTATGACCATCATCGTCACCTCTCATGACGGGCGAGATGGTGATAAATCTGAAGAACTGTCAAATTCAAGTAAATAACATACACTGCAAAGACAACAATTACATCAGAAAAGTCCCAGATATTTCCCACGCTAATTGGGTATAAAAAGGGATCGCTCCCGCACCTCCGGGCGATCGTTGGGAAGAAGCACCAGGACCGAAACCTTCAAGTCTTCTCTACCTTTGGGAACTTTGCAGTTTCTGATTGCCACTGCAAACAAGGTAAAGACTTAGAAAATTTTTACTTCCCTCTCTCTCGGTTTAACAGGGACTTAGAAAATATTCACTTTTATCTCGGTTTAGTTTAGACTTAGAAAAATTTCACTTCTTTTTTGGTTTTAGATTAGTACTTACAAAACTCATGGGGTAGTAGACCTTCGACGGTCCCGCTGACGGGAAAGATGGACATCAGCCATCTAATATTGTCATGATGCGGATATATTATTATCATTATTACTATTTTTCTCTTGTTTGAGTTTAGAATGTAACTGCATGAATTTGTACCGTTTGTTATAAATTAAATGTGTTATTCTTAGTTTTAATATTGTGTCATCTTTGAGTACGTCCGACACCTCGTCACGACTTCACTACCCCTCCCACTCACTTAACCATCGCCATCCCTGACAACGAAGCCAATAAGTGGGGAGAAGCTCGCCGCTATACCCCCCTCAGTACCCACAGATCAATCATTTTGATTCTTTTTCTTCCTCTATCTTCCTTAATTACACTTTCCATGACTTTTTTCATTATTCCATCTTTTCTCAGTTAATGTCTCATCCAATTTGCTTTCTTTTTCATAATTTTCTTCAATGTCTCTTTTCTCTCCATTTCTTTCCAACCCTTCACTATTACTAATCTTATCAATCCAACTTATTTTCAGCATTCTTCTCCATATCCACATTTCAAATGCCCTAATTGTTCTCTTATTGAGAAATATGATCTTACACTAAAATTAGCATTTCAATCCTGTATCTTGCTGATTTCTCCTATTGAACTATAGATGGAATTGATCAATCTTCTCTGAAGACATTCTAAAGTCTCTTTTTGGTGTTAAGAAATTGCAATTGAATACCTACATTTATATGAGCATGCTTGTCAAGTACTTTTCTATTTTACAACAGTATACTGTTGTGAATTCTCATTTTCATATTTTGCACAAATTAAGACACCTTTGAGAGATCAAATGACTAAATTGGTCCTCAAGGTAAACATCAAACTACATACAACTATGCTTGAACCAAATATACAGTTGAAAATTTTACTAATGACACTTTTGCATTGTTTTAAATTTATATTTCAGTATTAAATAATAATTTATTTAATTAAAAGATGTGCATAAGTATTTATTAAATGTTAAAATAAATTGGTAGTTATTATGCAGTATTATTGCATCATGTTTTGTAAATACAGAAATTGTAAATATTTCTCTAAATATGTATAAGAGTATTTTTTGTATAAATGCCTAATAATATAATGAAAAAATTTTGCCATCTGCAATAAAATATGAGCAGCTTTGTGACATGTTACTAAAACAACAATTGACCTTCCATGATAAAAAGGTTTCCCATCCCTGGTGTAATCCAATGTATCCAGGCCGGACCAGACCTCCTTTGATAATTTCTGAATAATCTAGACTTCATTCCTCAGAGTACCAGGCATAGATTCAAATATAGATTTTTCACAGTGACAAGCTGACTTCTTATTTCAGACATTTGACTGTTCTTTAAAATTTAATTAAACTTTCAAATATTTCAGATTTATATTGTTTTCACTTGATTATTTAATCATCTATAATACATTTACATCTTTACTCAAAAATATACATTATATATACAAGAATATACAATATTCACATAAATATATACATATTTTTTAAATTAAATTATTAACAGAAATAATAATAAACACATTTGTGCTATTTAAATTTTAATATTGACATTATTTAAGGGAATTAGAACTTATTCATAATTTGTTTTAAAAAAATTACAGATTTTTGACTTCAATTTTGCATTGTGAATTATAGCTCATCTTTTTTTCCAATATTTGTAAGAAGATTTTGCACAAGATCATAGAGACTTGAAAAGTACAAATCATCACTTTCTTCTGAACTTTTCTTTTCTTCAAGAGATAATTCTTGATAAGAATTCGATAAACTTTTTAGAATTTCTAAATGTTCTTTAAACTGATGTTTACATAAATGAACAATTGTTACCATTGCATTTAAAACTTTTTCTTGAGTATCATAATCAGGAGATAACAAAAGTTTTGGAATTAAGTCACAAAATCCATGTTGAATTAGTCCAGTTTGCAAATTAAAGCTAAAAAATAAAATAAAACCTGTTAATCAATTATAAATGAATGAAAACAAGAAAGGAGTGTTATTTTTCTAAACTACATAAATTTGTAAGGTAATCTATGGTTAAGAATCAAACTGTGTTGTATTATAATAATTTTTTAAGAATATCATAGATCCAAACCAAGGTATTCTTAATAATTAAAATAGACTGATTTCAATGTTAAAGATGACTTAAAGATACACTTTTTGTTTTTACACAAGTTTATTTGCAAGTACTTTCAATAATTCACACATCATCATCTACAGTTCCCTTCTGTTTGCCTGAAAATGATAATATGTGAATTATTGAATGTGATTGCAAATAAACTCTTGTGTAAAACAAAAAGTGTGTCTTTTAATTCATCTTAACACTGATAATTTCTACAATATTCAAAATATGTCAACATTCAACATTCTGAACATAACATATGTCACGCACAAATATATGAAATGCTAATAAAATTTCCGTGTAAATAAAACGTTTTTATTTTCAAAGTAACTGAAAATTATTTTCTTTATAGATTTAACATATCACATTTTGGGTGTTTAAACAAATAGTATAATAATTACAACAACATAGAAATAATTTATGCCATAATTTTAAGTAGAAAGCTAAATTTAATAATATCTTTAATAAATAGTCAAAATTACTATTCATGACATCTAGTATAATTACCAATATTTATCTACATAATTAATAAAATTTAATTTATGAAATCCTGTTTCATAAACTAAATTAAATTAATAAGAATTTCATTGCAAGAATGGCTTAATTTGCCAGCATTACAGAATATTTATTTATTTTTCATCCTATGGAAAACATTTTTTTTTGTTTAAAAATTTGATATACATTATAGAAAATTAGTTAATTATATAAAGTACTTCATGATATTAAACATTTGAATTATGAAAGCTGCAAAGTTTCAGCTATCATTCAGTCAAAGTTTTGTCATATACTTAAATGATTCTCAACTCTCAAAAGATAAAATAATAAATTAACATTTTGCTAATGTAATATAGTATAACCTCCGAATAGCAGACACTGTCAGGACTAAGAAATTTGTCTGCTATTTGGAGGTTCAGTACATGCCAAAGATCATATTGTATTTTAACTTGGTCATTAAAAAGTGAAGAATATGATGTATTATGAAAACATCAAATTTGCATTAGGAATGTGAAAATACATAGCATATATAATTAAAATACAGGGTACAGTGCAGGAACTTCCTTATTTTAAAAAATCATATAACAAAAAGTATTGGAGATATCAATTTAATTCTTTTTTCTTTACATAGAGGTACATTTAAAGTTTTATTTCATTAGGGTTTGAAAATGATATCTTGAAGGTGGCCTCTGTTCTGGTCAATACATTTGGAGAGTCGAAATCGGAAGTTTCGGTCCACTTTGTCCAGCATGTCTATGTCGGCAATAGCAGCACGAATATTGTTCTTCAGTTCACGTAGAGTCTTTGGACGATTGGTGTACACCAAGGATTTAAGATATCCCCATAAGAAAAAATCGCAGGGAGCTAAATCTGGCGAGCATGCTGAAGATTGCCCCTCAAACAGATGAGACATTCTGGGAAGTGTTCGCGCAAGAGAGTCATTGATGTTCGTGCCATGTGAGCCGTGGCACCATCTTGTTGGAATCACAATTCCCTTGCATCCATTTCTTCAAGTTTGGGAAGAAAAACTCCTCAATCATCTGGACATAATGCTCAGAAGTGACCGTAATTGGCCTATCGTTCTCTTCAAAAAACCATGGACCGATAATGCCAACTCCTGATACTGCACATCAAACAGTCACACATTCTGTATACAGGGGCTGCTCATGAATTCCTGGCGGTTTGTGCCACTCCAATTTGTTTTGCTTATTCACGTATCCTGACAGATGAAAATGTGCCTTGTTGCTGAAGAACACAAAGGTGTCATGAGGCAGGTTTTCAATCAAGGCTTCACAAGCATATTTTCGTGAAACAAAATTGCATGGATTAAGTTGTTGCACCACTGCCAGTTTGTATGGATGAAATCTCAGATCTTCATGAAGAATTCATCTCATTGTGCAATCAGAAATTCTAAGTGCAGCTGCATGTTTGCATGCAGATTGCTTAGGGGATTTCAAAATTACCATCCTTACTCTCTTGATGTTTTCTGGTGTCCTGGTGGTTCTTGAAGGTCCTGGTTTCTTTTTCTGCACACTACCAGTATTCATAAATGTGTCCACCCATTGAACAATCGATTTTCAATCAGGAACACGACCTGTAGGCGCAATATTAAACTGTTTCCTGAATGCATGCTGGGTTGCAATGACTGAACAGCTGTTGGAAAAGTAAGTCCCCACAGCGAACGCACACTCCTGTCTTGTCCCTTGCATGATCATTACTAAACTAACTGTACAAAAAACATTAGGCCCTGCCCTTTCGAATGCGCTCAACCCCATTCTCCAAGGAGTAACGGCCGCTGTGTGGTGTGTTTCAAATAAGGTAGTTCTGTGCCGCACCCTCTATATGCAATATATTACTATCTTTTCAGCTGTAAAAATCACATTTTAATTGAATTCTAAATAAATAGATTGTATAGGATACTTTAATTAAATGGAACATAAAAATTATGACAAAATGTAAATATTGATTATACAACAAAATGTAAACATAATAAATGTTTATGTTTTGTTGTAACGTATAGTATGACAAAATGTAATGTATATTATGACAAAACCTAAACGTTGATATTAAGTCATAGAATATGATCTGAGCAGAAGTAATAAAAAGGAAAAATGAAACTATTATTATGAACAGAACAATTTAGGTGACTAGAGTTTGAATGTCAAGTTACAAAGGCTAGCACTTTAAGAGATGGAAATGTATTTGATATTCTTGTATTTATAATATCATTTCAGATCTAAGCGACTCATAAAAATCAATATAGGGATTTGTCTGCTGTGTAGTTATCGAGTACATGTAATTTTTCAAACATTTTTGCTTTTTTCAATAAATGATTCATTAAAAATTACTTTAGCCACCACAACACTTTTAAGATCATAAATTACATCATAAATGTGGGAAAACCAAATATCTTCCTACACTTTAAAGTAATTGGCAAATTGTAACACAATTCTTGAACTTTCACCAAATAAACACTGTTGTCTTAACCTTAAAACTGTTTTTTTTTTTTTTCATTTCTACTGTGCTATAGTTCATGTTGAATGAATAACATCAGAAAAAAATTATGGTTTCTTGGTACTGTAAGCTTAATTCCAACAATAAGACAGAAGTTTAATAACATTAATATGTATGATGATAAATGGTAATTGACAACTTAACCAGATTAGTCTTCTCTAACATAATGAATATCATTTGGTTTTTTACAACCTGCCCTCTTCTATTCCTATTTTTAGCTAGTGTTTATTTAATGTCTATGGTCAAAATTCTTCTTCTAAAAGAGTATTTGAACTGATTCTTTGTTATAGTTTTAAAATATTTTGTAATTAATTAATTATTTCAGAATATTGAAGGTGGGACTTTGTGTTTTTGTATGGTGGGTTATGGATGACAGCATCTATTATTTAGAGGTGAATATAATAGATGTCCTATTTGAAGAGTTTGGGGATTGTAAAATGTCTGTTAAGAAGAGATGTTTGCTATTTGGGAGTGTCCATTAATGGTGGTTACAATGTACAATAAAATCTGAGTAAAATGGAGTGTGATGATGTTATTAGCCAGAATTTCCCATTTTCAGCAGTTCTTATTTTATAAAGGATTATGTTTTTATTAATGTAGAAAAAGAGGAAAATTAAAAGAATTTAACAATTCATTTAAAACTGCTTCTCTTCCAATGTAAGCATTTATTTCAAAGACATGTTGAAAACACCAAAGATATTATTATATGATGCACAGAGGAAAACAACTGCTTAAAAGCTCAATACAACTGAAATATGTTTTCATTATGATTTAGAATTTAGCTGCTGTCGAACTAAAATATTCCACTTTACTCAGGTTGTTATGCAATTGGTACCTAAAAGTTTTCCATTTCTAAATCCTTAGGTTTCTGGTTTGTATGAGGGCTATTTGGAAATTAACCTCTGTTATGCTGTGAAAAAAACAAGAATAAAGACAAACTACATTTATTATATACAAAAAGTACATACATATCTTAGCAACAAAAGTTTCACCAGAAATCAGGCATTTGTCATAACATGACACCATTTTCTGTATCCCTTCATCAAAGGTATTTGCTATTTGGAAGTTCAGCCATCCACAAGTGCCATGAATCAGTTTTTCATTGGATTCAAATTTCTGCATCTCCAACCACACTTTCATTTTTGGGAAAAAATGAAAGTCACTCATTGTGAGGTCGGAACTGTAGGTTGGATAATCAAACAATTCCCATTGAAACTGTTGAAGCTGTGAGTGTACATTGTTATGGACAAGAACTATGCTCCAGGACAACATGCATTGATACTTGTTCTAAATCACTCTTCAAAGTTTTTTTTTAGAGTTTTTTACAGCATACCTGTGAAATAATAGTAATCCCAGGCACTATAAAATCTGTCAGTAACACTCACTTACAGTCCCAAAAATTGTAGCCATCATATCTTTGCTTTATAAAACAACTGCTTGAATTTCTTGGAAGGGTGATTCAGAACAGGAGTTAAGGCATGTCTTCAGGCATGGTTATTGTCCATGAAAATGCACACCCACAATGCACTCCAGCAGTTTCAATGAGAGTTGTTTGATCAACCTGCCTACAGTCCCAACTCACACTGAGTGACTTTCATTTGTTCCCAAAAATGAAAGTGTGGTTGGGAATGCAGCAAGTTGAATCCATTGAGGAACTGAACCATAGCATTCATGGATGGCTGAATTCCTAAATGGCAAACTTCTTTGATAAGGGGATACAGAAAATGGTGTCACATTACAACAAATGCCCAAATTCCAGCAGAACTATGTCAAGAAGTAGTGATATACATACATTTTGTGTGTAATAAATGTAGTTTGTTTTTATTCTTGTATTTTTCACTGCCTACTTACTGGAGGTTAATTTCCAAATAGCCATTATAATACTATTTGATATAGAAAACTGTTTATCATGAAATTTATTTTCCATTTAGGCAGGTTTCCATTTTGTATAGGATTTTTTTAGACAGGTTTTACTGTATCACATTTCATCTTATATATCACATTTTATAAATATAGAAAGCAATTAAATTTCTCATAGTAATGAAAACTAAACATTCTATTAGGTATTTTTATGAAGAATTCCTCTCATTTTAATCATCATCCAAAAAAAGTTTTTTTAGTTATGTTTTTAATTCAAGCTTTAAAAATTTTTTAAACAACCAGAATTCAAATTATAGGCATAATTTTGCTTTAATCAGAAGCTTAAAAGAATTACATTCTAGATTAACACTTTATAAATTCCAAAACATTGCATATTCTACATGAAATAATAATAATTATTACTATATTTCTTCAATTACACAATGTCATTAAGAAATTATACTTTCTTTATCACTTTGTAATGATTTCAATATTTTTAATATAAGGATACTTAATATAATATATTTTCAATATAAGGATTTTTAAATTAATTTTCTATTATTTATATGTGAATAACATGTCTTCAATAAGTTTATTTTGAATTATATAACAAAACATATTTTAAAAATTTACTTACTTATTATATTGTTGAAGTTTTTCTTTTTGTTGCTTGTCATTTGAAGCATATTGTTTTGCTTGTTGCTAAGATATTAAAAATAATAATATGTAATATAACTATAATCTACAAAAAAGTACATTTATGGAACTCACTTTAACATGATGCAGTTTTGCTACTAAACTTAAAATATCTACATATTATATATTATTGCTACTAATGATTATTATACAGATGTTTCAATGATATTTTATCATTTGAGAATCAAGTTTATTTAAAAACTTTCACTATTTTAAAATTAACAATATGAAAATAATAATCAACAGAATTTCAAAATATGTTTCTTAAGTTAATTATTATTAATTTCTTTGTAAAATAGGGTTGGCAGAATTACAGTATTAACCTTTCAGCAGTGGGATAGTCAGATATGGTGCTACCTCAAAGTAGTAGAGAATAAATGTGGGAAATTTTTAAAGTATTTTTCCACGTGTTTTTTCTCATTACTGTTTCGGAAAAAGATTTTGTACAGTTATGTCTAGTAAAGAAAAGTCTTTTTATATTGTTACATAATTAATTTTTCATTTGAATTTTTTTTCATGGTAGCTTTCGGCTAGTTTTTGGCAATACCCCAAAAGAATTTAACGGATATATCCATCCCTCACTGTTGTCACATGATCGCCCTGGACGATATATATCCGTCCCTCACTGTTGAGTGGTTAACATCATAAAAACATGTAAACAGATAATAAAAATATCTTCTTTTACTCACCATGTCCAATCACCAGGAACAAACTATTCTCCACAGCAGAGATGACCTTTCAGAGACTGTTTTACATAATTTGGCAGAGGTATAGCCTCTAAAGAAAGGTCATCTCTGCTGTGGAGAATAGTTTGTTCCTGGTGATTGGACATGGCAAGTAAATGAAGATATTTTTATTATCTGTTTACGTGTTTTCATAATGTTAATAATTATTATTAAGATTATCAATTACTTTTAAAATTCTTACAGATATTTATTTATAATAATGATTGGTAATTATGATGATAATTGCAGTTTGCACATTATTTAACCATGATTGTTACAAATTATGACTTACAGGCATTTAATGAACATATGCTGTTTGTTAACAAACATACTTGCTTCCTTTTGAATTCTTACAGATATTTATTTATAATAATGATTGGTAATTATGATGATAATTGCAGTTTGCACATTATTTAACCAACATTATTTAATTGCAGTTTGCACATTATTATGGTTATGGGGAGACTATTCAATTTGTGGATAAAAGACTAATCTGATTATCTGTTGATACTAATCCATGATCTTATTTGGTTAAGTAAGACTTATTAATGTAATGAATTGCTACTAATCAATTTCAGTTAACATTTTGAATAGTCAATTTTAATAAAATTTATTTATTTTAATTATAAATAACTCATACTTAATTATTTTTCTACTTTAGCAAATCTGCACCAATGCATCTATTTACGTTATAAATTAAAAGTTAAATAATTTACCTGTTCAATAACAAGATCATGCAACAGAGTTACAGCTTTTAACTGCAGTTTAGATGAATGTAGTTTAGTTTGTTTGAAAAGTTCAGCAAGTGCAATTAAACCACCACTATCTGTAAAATGCTGCTGAGCAAGAGGAAACTGTCTTAATAAACAGGAAAGTGCATATAATACCCTTGACTGAACTTCATCAGTAACATCATAAATAAGAATTCTAAGTAACTGTTGCAATATATTTGTCTCATATACAGCAATTTGAACAGGTGGATTCCTGAAAATATATTATTTTTCAAAGAAAATTATATTTTTAAATAGTGTTATTTTAATAAATTAGTCTTATTTTCAAAATATATTCACAAGTTTCCAGGGAAGGTTCACTACTTTGCAAGAACTATAGAATTGAGAATATAGTTGATTTTGAAATGACTAATAGAAATTCATTCAAAATGCCCACTTTGTTAGTAATTGTAAGGATTTTTATATATTAAATTATGAAGAGAGTATTTTCAATAATTTTAACACAAGTTCAAATTTTTTGTTACCAAATTTAAAGGTTCGTTAATAGTTATCATTAGTTCTGGTAATTGTGTAAAAAGATAACTAAATTTTTTTCTAACATAAAGAAAAAAAGTATGCTACATGTATTTTGGGGAAATATCTTTTAAAACTGATAAAAAATTCAAAGTAAAATTAAGAAAATCTAAATCCTAGTTTTATATTTTTTTTTGTTTCTAGAAAATAATTGGCAAAATTGGCTTCTATAACTTTACTAATATTCCACTGTTATTAGCTATCAGGAAATATTTAAATTGCCATTTAATTCATAAAGTAGTCCAAAATATTCACAGAATATCATAGAATTAAGTCTAATGCAGGGAGACTATCTGATCTGTGGATAAACAACTAATCTGATTATTTTTCATTTTCTAGAAGGGACATTTGCATGTGTGATACAGTTGATTCATAATTGGATGCAATCACATGATATATATCTAATGATCATGTGATTGTAGTTTGTACCTTTTTGTTAAAATTTTGAGAGAAGATTTTTGGTGTTACTTCCTTTCTGTTTAATAATTTTATAAAAGTAATCTATGGTACTGATTTGTTTTTCAAGGTATTTATTTTTATTAAAAAGGTTAAATTGTTTATCTCATGATGATGATGTTGACTTTATGGTAATGTGGTTTATTTTTTTATGTTTTTCTTTTAGGCTCATACTGAAAAGTTGTTAGTAATTATATGTTAATTGTGTCCTGGAACATGATTTGCATGTTATTTAACAAGCAGTTACCTTTGGTCATTTGGGAGACTTTCTGATTTGTGGATAAAAGACTAATCTGATTATTTTTCATTTCTAGGTAAGATATAGCCTAGTTTTCTTGTAATTTTTTTTTTTTGGTAGTTTTTCCGCTTTTAGGTTTAGGATTGAATTTTACCTTTTGGATTTACCATTGTGTTTTAGTTATAAGTTGTGTATATTTGTTTTGTATTAATGGATATGTTGTATGATCTATAATTTTTGTATATTTTCTCCCTATATCATGATTGTATCAGTATGTTTAAATAAAATAAAATAAATTGGGTCTAATGCAAAATTTTTGGATTTTTGCAGTTTCTTCTACAAACTTGTATTTTCTAATCTATTTTCAGATGGACAGTCATTTTCACTAATTAATACTATAAAATCGTGGAATAATGACATGACAGAATAATCATCTTTAGAATATCCAGCTATATTTGAATATCTTATTAAAATAGGAGTCTTGACTCTTATGATTATTTTTAAAGTGGTAAAATAAGTGAAATTTCATTAATAAATTGTCACAAAACATTTGTGTCCTTAAGACAAATGTAGAGCCATCACAAGTATCTGCAAGTAATCATTCTGTGTGGACTTGAATGTTAAATGATGGTAAAGTTATTTATCTAGCTGGATGTACAGTATATACGTGGCTAGTTACCCTTTCTTTTCTTAAATTTTCATCACATGAAAATGAATATAACTGGAACGGTTGAATACATGGACAATCTCAATGCATCATGTTTTTGTATACATCACATACAGCTTCAAGCCACTTAAAAAGAACTCTCTAGCTATTATGGCATCCAACTACTGCACAACAACTACCTGGACTGGTTTTATAAGGCATGTTGCCAATGGAAAACTAAAAATTGTAGACCTACACTAATAACTAGCAATATCTTAATGGCTGCCAAGACATATGCCCTTGTAGAGCAAAATTCAAAAACACCTTCTGGAAACTTGTGGATACATAATATATGGCTGAATAATGAACAAAGTTTATATTATTTGGTAAATTTTATATTAAATTATTAAAACTTTGTTCATAATTTAAAATTTTAACATAATTTTATATTCAATTAACAAAACTTAAAAATATATTTTCACTTTCTATTAGCAGATTGTATTTGAATTTTGAATTGATATTTTTATTTGACTTAAAATAATGCTAATGCATTAAAAATAATTTGAATTCAAATTTAAAATATTATTATTATTACTTATTAAATTATTGAATTTATTTTCAAACTTGCAATGTCTATACTAATCAGTAATCATTTATAACAATTAAAGTGAATCTTATAAAATTTCAAATTTATATTTAAAATTAATTCACTTGATGAGAAAAGTAATTTAAAATTGTACACTATAAAGGGTATATGTTAAATTATTGTTTAAAAAATTTATTTTTAAGCAGGAATGAGAAATAAATGACTAAAATGCAGATGCTATGATAGCTGTAAGAAATAATACTCAGACATTTTGTTCACTTAATATCATATCCAAACACAATTTTGTCTTCTGTATTTCCTTTTTTTAGGTTCATTAATATATGATCAATTTTATATATATAAAATTACTGTATATATATACAGTAGAACCTCGATTATCCGAACTAATTGGGGATGAAGGTAGTCCGGATAAGGAAAAATCCGGATAATCGAAACAAATATTTTAATTTGTCTTTTAATGATAATACAACACGTTTTCTTTTCGATGACATATCGGTAATATTAAAAGTAAATACTGTATTTAAATCGTGATCAAATTTTCAAGAAACAAACGTTCGTATTGAATTTGGACTACTACTGACCAACGCTAACAGACTACCTATTGTTTAAAAGGCCCTCTGGTGGCGCAAGAAGACGGATTTTATAAAATAAAAAGCAGTTGAAACTGCATTTTTATGAATAAAAATTTGACAAACTATTTATCGTTTTATGACGAGTAAAATTTTTTCGTCGCGTTCGCGGCTTTTAAGTAATGCATAAACCTTCGAGGCGCGAGGCCCTTCGGACCGCGAGGCATAGGCGGTGGCCCACGTCGTCCATGCCTTACGCCGCCCTTGGTCATAGAAATGATGTAATTTGAATATAAATTATTTATAAATACGTATGTCAAGTTATATTTTTATTACTACGTAAAATATATTTAAGAGTTTACGACCACTGTGCTGGGTGAGACGTTGTTGAAACAAAAAAAGTTATGCATTCCATCACGTACATAAACAGTGTCGTAATTCGCCAAGTGCAAATCAGCAAATTCATAAAATTTTTGTTTATTTTGAACAATCCGGATAATCGAAAATCCGGATAATGGAGGTTCTACTGTATATATATATACAGTAGAACATTGATTATCTGAATCAATTGGGGTCTGGGGTTGTTCAGAAAATTGATTTTTTGGATAACCGATTATGTATGAAAAATATATTAACTTAATCCAAGTTGAAATTCATTCAAATCCTGGCATGTCCTTAAGTATCCTCTCATGGTCACGCCAGTGCTGCCAAATAAAACAAGCACCCAACAAAAATAATATTAGAGTAGCCCAAGATGTAGCCAAAGATTGCAGTGCCACAGCACTAGCGGAAATTTAAATTTGTTGACTGGAAAGCTTTTGGTTAATTGACGTTTCACATTTCAGTTGATCAATATTTGGATAATCGATGCTCTACTGTATATATATAAACATATAATTTTGGAAATAAATGAAAAATGTAATGTCACAGAGTTTATTATAGAGTAAGTTTTTTGATTGTTAAATTTTTGTATAATCAGTTGAAAAATTATATATATGTATGTATATATATGGCTCAAAGACCAAAATGTTCAATGAGTGAAGAAATCAACCACAATAACATTCTGATTTCTCAGATCCAGTCACAACACAAATTTCATGTTGTGGCTAGATCTGAGCACACAAATTGAAATTTCTTTTTAATGATATTATTTGTAAATACAAAATGTCTAATATGATATAAACTCTAATATAATATATATATATGNATTGGTATCAGTTGGACAGGGAATTAAATGTTCGAGTATATCGTGAAGATGCAGATGATGAACGTTCATGGAGATTGGTGTGCCAGTATGTATATTTATAAAACCATTAAAAAATTTTTTATCACTATTTGAAAGATTGTGTTGATAAATTGTTTATTATTTTAATGATTGATCAAATGATACAATTAACTATATATATATATATATATATATATTATACTAAAGAAAGAAATTTTTTTAATTTTAGGAATTTTGATCCAAGTTTTAAATCACTTTTAATTTCTAATTATAAATGAATAAGATTATTTTCAAAAATCCAGTTTAAGTTTTCAAACATAAGAATACTATAAAGACTAAACTAATGTGCCATATAATTCTATCTAATGTGATAATTTAAACAATAGGAATATCTATTTCTATAAAAATTTTCATGATTGAATACAACAAAAACTAATTTGGAAAATACTATAATGTATTAATAAAAATATAAATTTAACTAACCCTTGCATTGCTGATCCTATGGTAAATGCTACATATGATCGTAATTTGCTGTTAGTAGAATTAAGATCTGGTAATATTAACTGTAGTCCTTTGAATTTCACAAACATTTGAGCTGCATCATACTAAAATATCATAATACATATTATTCAATATATATACACATATATATTGTATATAATGATTACATGTATATAATGATAATATATACAGTATATAATGATTCAAGAAAAATAAATAAAAAATATATACCTGATGTACTAAATATTCAACATCTTTTAAAATAGTTATTTTCCTTTCATTACTAACTTTAGGATATTCTTTCATCAATTCCATCAACATTTCTGAGTCAGTTTTAATAGCAAGATTAACTTTAGCAAATTCTTTTTTTAATTCTTCTATATTACGAAACTTGGCACGAATTTTCTCCACATTTTGTGTTTTAGCATCCTAAAAATTTTACAGAATACAACAATTTTTTGATTTTTTTAATATTTATTTTATATAAAAAAATAAAATAAATAAAAAATTATGTATAAGGATATTTTAAACTTATTAAATTAGTAAGCCAGAACTAATGTATACCATAGAAAAATCATACCTTCCTTACAGTTTAGAACATTCAAGAATGTTCCAAACTTCAAATTGGCTAACATTCAATTTTATATAAGTTTAACCTGATGCAGGTCCCTGAATGTTGCTGAAAACATTTGTTTATTAAACAGTTACTGCTAGAAAATGTGAGAAAGGAGTGATTTTTTTGTGTTAAGGATATTTTACTTAAAAATGAATATACTGTATCATACCTCTTCAGAAGTCTCTTTATAGTCTGATTTTAAGGATTTCAACATATGTTTTAATTCTTCTAATTGTTTACTTTGTAAAACTGCAGCTAGTTTCTCATCTTTAACTTTGTAGTATGCAAATTTATTATTAATATTTTCACCACTGACAGAATCTTTATCATTTAATAGTTTTGCTTCCTTTTCACCTGTTTGTAAGTTAATTCGAACATGAAGACCAGACGGTATTGTTTGACCTTTAACATATTTAAAATATAGTTTTTTTAAGTTGGTATAATATATCAAAACTATTGTATTAAAGTCTAAATAAAATTACCTGGTTTAATTTTCTGCCAATTTTTAGATGGTATAAATGGTGTGTCATCTTCATTTTCTAAATCATCATCAGCAGTTTCTTCAATTAACTCTTCCTTAACATCATCTTTTACTATACTTAATGCACCATCTCTTTCAGTTTTTATTACCAAAGCAATTTGTAAGAGAAAAATCAATACTGACCACCTAATCATAATTTTATTTTACCTGAATATATATAAATATAAAATATATATTTAAGTAACAGTACAATAAATTAAAATTAAGTAACCTAACCTAAGTATTAATTACTAGTAAATAATTTTAAAGAATAAATAAAATAATTAAATATTCAATTAGTAATACAGTGGGTGATCAGTTAACGAACAAATCAGATAAGAACACTTTCGTGAAAGATTTTTATGTTCGGACAATGAACATATGACCAGATAATGAACACCTCACAGAACAAACACAAGAAAAAGCGACATAAAATAATGAATACCGATTGGTCTTCCCCTGTCTTCAGACAACAATTCTAAACTTTTTGGAGCGTGGGAGACGTCAACATCGATGCACAACCTGGTATATACTTATTGGATAGTATTCCTCTAAACTTTGAAACTCTCCCTTGTAATTCCAGCCTTTTATTTTTTTGACAGAAACAATTTTTTTATAGTATTGGCGAGATTGTCGGACAAGTACTTGTTAAGTTTTGCGTTGCAGTATGGCTAGAACAAGTCTACAGTAGGCCACAGTTCAAACTTATCTAAGAAAGATACTGTATTATCAAGAAGACTCAAACAGCTTAAGGAGTAATAAAAATCACATCTGAGAAATAAAGAACATTGAAGAGCTCATAATGGAACCTGAAACGGATCTGACGACAGAAGAACGGCAAGAACTCTTGAATGAAGAACACCAAGAAACTCACCGAGATATGTTTTCTTCTAAAAAGAGAATTAATGTTCGATATCTGCTATTAAACATTTTTTTTTAAGTGGGATGATGTAAGAATGATGGTCTTAGAATGGCATCCAAACCAGGTTGAGGTTAATAGGCTTAGGGATTTCTACAATTACAATGCTATTAATTACTTCTGAAAAAGTCCTGAAAAAGAGAGAAAAGCAATTGACGTTAGACAGATTCTTTAACCCCCACAAATGGAACAAAAATGCAAGACTGTGTATATATGTATTTTTACTATTACATATAAATAAACGTAGTAAGAAAGTATATATTTTTTATTATTTGGGGTCTCCAGAACGAATTAATCAAATTCCCATAAAAACCTATGGTAAATCAATAATCAGTTAACAAACAATTCGGGTAGCGAACAAAGTCTTGGAATGGATTATGTTCATTAACCAATCTCCCACTGTATTCATTTTCAATGCCTGCTATTTGATATGGATTACAGGCTGCAGGAGCAGCAGTTCCAGTAGTGTCTTCCAAAGGCCTCAATCTACAACAATTAAATTCAGCTCTCTTGCTAGAATCTCGAGACATGTTTCCGGATATCCACCTATCTGGTTCTTGGTCTTCTGAATGATCTAGGTCCATTGGAATAAGAAAAAGAATTCTCTTTACAAGTCTTTCCTGTGACGTTCTATTTATATGTTCAAACCTACATAATTGTGATCTCTGAATATATCAAAAATGGGGTTATATTGAGACTTTTTCAGATTCTACTGTTGAAAGTTTTTCAAGCCTCTTATGGCTGGTACACAATATGACTACTATCAACACTTTGTCATACCCAAAAACATGCCAACAAGATTTGTTGATGATTTACATGTTTACAAGATGTACTGGAATATGGCTTATTATAAGTTGTTCTGAGTATGCATAAGAGCATTCATTTCTCCCAAGAGTGATGAGAATGCAATCTAACAGCCAATTCCCAATCTCAACACTGATTGATTTGACAATGCAACAATGAGCAAAACATCTGGCAGATTAGATTTTCTGCAACATGGTTGAGACTTATCAAACCAAGCTCACTAATGAGTCACAAGTTTGTTCATATCAGGCAAATCCACATGTATTGTGATTTCAAATAACAAAACATTAGCAATAACTGTGTTGTGCTTTAGCACTTAACTTTAGCCTTTAACACCAGCAGCTGGTCTGAGAAATTTTCTCTCTGCTGTCAATATTTAAGATTGCACCTGTTTGGCCATTACTCAATATTCATATCCATAGGTGAGGATTGGGATATAAATTGAAGAGAAGACCAACAACTTTGCCTTCCTTCCTAACTCTTTCTTTAGCACTACTGATCAATTTAGTGTATGATGAGGTACTCAATCAATTAGATTGAGTATATCATCATACTCAACAACTTAGTATGTCTATTTCTACACCCTGCTTTCCATCACTTGTGAATGCAATTTCTAAATATTAATTCACTGCCTGCTTCAGTGTAGCTTTATTTAACTGAAGAGTGCATTGAACAGGATTTTTTGAGAGTAACAACACTTCGGTCTTTAGCACACAAGCACCCTTATTTTCATCCCAGCATCAGCTGATATGAAAAGCTTTAACCAGAATATTGTGTCATTATTAACATAGAAAATTTATACAGTAATTTGTAATCATTTAAATTTGGAAAATGGAGCACCTGTATGGCTTAAATACAGTAATGATAACTTATAAGAATACATTAAAATTAGAATTTATACTCATTTTAGTACAATTACACCTCTGAATGAGATGGCTGAGACCTTACCCATAGGAGCAAAAAAGTCAAAGGAACCATATCTCTAGACCAGTGGTTCTCAACCTTTTTTTCGTCACAGCACACTTTTAGTACTTTAAAAATTTGGCGGCACACTAACAATAAGATAAATTGTAAAAAATTTTACTTCATTAATTGAGGGATGTACTGTATCTATAATATATTTTGTAAAAAGAGCATACGATAAGAATTTTCAATGAAATATAAAAGGAAATTGCATTACAAAGTAAACAAAATGTTTTGTGTCGCGGAAACGGCACACTTCAGAAATTTCGGAGCAAATCAGTGGCGGCACACTTCAGAAATTTCGCGGCACACTAAAGTGCCGCGGCACAGTGGTTGAGAAGCACTGCTCTAGACAGTGGTGCTTAATCCTGAGGCACAGATTTGAACAGATAAAATTCCCACCTTGTGTGATTGCTAATTCATAAATAACTAGAAATAGAACTCACGACACAATATAAATTTAAAAACTTAATTTTAATTAGGAAAATATTTTTGGAAAATTTACTAGTGTTTCTTTTCCTTTTACTTTGGAGATGCCAGGGACACCTGGATGTGCTACTATCTCTAGATGTAACCCTTTGCAAGTTCAACCTACTTCCAAGATACATTCAATTGGGAACTGTATTGCTCTGCTAAAATTATCACATTTAGCTATTTAGTCCACACGATTATGCTGGCTTTGACTATTCGTCCACTTGACTATTTGGGAAGTACTTGATGTTATATAGTTTTACATGTGGGAGCGCGCCTTATGGTGTGCTGAGGTGTGAACAATAAATGTGTAGTCATGCACTTTGATGCACAACTACACATTTATTGCTTGCACCTCAGCACCCGTGCACTACATGGGGCATGGAGAATAGGCAGTAATTCTGGTATGTAGTAAAAACTGACCTTTGGAGGCAAATATCTCGTTAAGGATCGCATGTTCAGAATGGTTCCTTTGACTTTTTTGCTTGTACCGGGTTTTTACAATTCTGGGGTGGATGGGAATCCCCTCATTCAGAGTTCACATCTTACTTTATTTCTGTTATGTCATCAATTATTAGCAGCATGTATTAATTGATAATTTATATAACTTTCATTTAAACAGCCTGCAAAAAGTATATTCTTATTGGTTAATAATTTTAATATTTGAAAAGTTCATTTAAAAATCTGCTAATGAAATATTTAAATATATACGAATATGAAAATATTTATAAGATAAACTAAAAAGTAAAGACGTTACAAATATTTATGTTAAATTTTTGTACATTTAAAATTCTTACTTAAAAATTATAATCTGCAACAAAACTTTACTGTTTATTGTTTACATGTATCATCATTTGAGACACGTTGCTTTCCTGAGACGATTATTTTCCCTCTAGCGGTGAAAAATATAAATACTTAAAATATAAATGTTTAAACAAAAAAATCATAATTAAATGTATTGGGCACATATTAAGCATATAAATTTGGTAAAATTTATATTAAAATATGTTTTATATATTAAGTATTATGTGTTACACTTTTTTATCATCTCTAACCTACTCCGCTCGGAGAAGACTAAAGGGGCCTTTTTCTGTGTTCATCGAGGGTTTCACCATCCGGCCAGGCTCCTTTGTGAGCGTGGATGAGTGGTATGAAACTTGGCCGATGCGGATAAATCTTTCCGAAAAATTTCTGGGGGCGCATCCGGATTCGATTCCGGTTTTCTAGTGTGGTAGGCTGACGTCTTATTGACAGTAGTAGCAGTTAGTTAGTATGGGCTACACTGACCATCTACCCTGACCTTAAAAAATAACACCTTCCTCTCAAATTTTACACAAAGCCGACGATAATCGGTGTAATCTGAGATAATTTACGGCGAGTTTCTTAAATTTATTACGTTTATTTTGTGGTTTTGAATTAAATTACCATAAAATGAACATAAAAAAAAGCACTTTCGGAATTCCACGAGTATTTTACGTCGTTAGAAAGAAGACAAAATAAAGAAATTAAACATATAATCGTAGTTTTTCATGTAATGCTGACAGTTTTACTTTTAAAATAAAAACTCGTTGTTTTTACGTGGCGTAACTCGTTCGTTTTTTCTAATGCGCTCACTAGAAGATGTATAACCTTACATAAACCGGCATGATGGCTTTTACGGTACGAAAATATCTAATTTCATGGTCTTCTCATGATAGACCGGCATGCCGGTCAAAATACGGTAATACTCGTAAATAGTGTTGCACCTTTTCAAAATAGCTAACCCGGACTAAAGTCCTAGAATATTTTGCGCCAATCGGGCCCCGCAAGATATCAAAATTTATATATTTAAAAATAGTTTCAAATTACAGAATAGATTAAACAGTTTAGCGATCGTGTCGATTGAGAGTCAAGAAGCAAGCCAGTTGGATTTTCATACTATTTTAAAAGATTTTACAGAACAAAAACTTCGGAACATATAAAACATCTCTTTATAGGTTTATATTCAATAAATTCAGTTATATTCATTTATCAACACAGTAGAAGATTTTTCATGGCAAAAATTTATGTAGTTATATTCATTTAAAAATATAGAAACACTAAAACATATCTATGTATGTTTATATTCAATAAAATATAGTTGTATTTATATTTGGTACAGGTTTTTTAATGTAGAAATTTATCTACTTTGTGGTTCATGACTTTTGATTTTTATAATTGGATTTTGGATTTTNTTAACCATGCAGAAATTGAAGATACAGTATGAGCTTTAGCCCATCCTGTTGAAATAGGAAGTCATCCTCAGAAGCAAGTCGGTCGAGAGACGAGAGGAGGATGTTTAATAGCCTCTACTAGTCAACTTTAACACTGATTCATAAGGAAGCATATCGCCTACGCCAGCAATGTTGAAGCATCTCCATATTTACATCTTAAGTGGAAACTTCCTGTTTAATGCAGCTTATCCTTAAGCTTTCGTTTCTAGTTCTGATGACCCTGTGTCTAGAATTTCCGTATAGGACTTCGAAAAGCGACTTGTCAGATCATATTATTCGACGCCAATCCTGATCTGTCCAGTGCAGATAATCCTTATTCCGTTGATATCTATTTTCTTCTGCGTCTTCATTAGAGGGATTCTGTTTGGTTTTGTACGATCTACAGTCGTTCTCTTTTAGCCTTTTAGTGGTCATTTTGATCGAAACTGGCCTATCTTTTATTCTTTATCTTCAATCTTTTATTTTCATAGCGCTGCAGCCTTCGTGTATGTTCCTTGTCGCCGAGCCTTAATTTCTCGAATACGCATGTTATCTTCTCTATCGGACGTAGCCTTTCGTCTTCCACATCTTCTGTTCGGCACAATGGATTCAGTGAAATCGTAATGCTTAAGGAAGACTGGACTGAGGATTCGGGAATGCAAAGGTTTCTTGCTAAACGTTTTTTGACAATCTTCCTCCCGATTTCTAGATATAGCGTCTGCTTTCCCATGTTTGGCAGTACAAAAGACATATTTGGACCTTTGTGGCAAATGAGAAGCAAATTATGCTGATAGAAAATTATAGGGATTGACAGGATACCACCGTTGCGTCCATCCGTCTGCCTATCCTTCCTTAACTGTATTCTGTCTCAACTAAGCTGATAATGACGTTAACATTTACGTAAAACAGCAGTTGTATCTTTACTGTGTATAAGAATATAAGAACTTGTTTTTAGTTCTTATATGTTAACAGTTTTAAAATAAACAGTGTCATTTGTTATCTTGTTGCTTATTGTTAATAATTATACAATATAAACAAATTTTATGATACAATATTGTGTGCAAGTTTATTGGAGTTTTTCGGTAGTTCACCTATCATGGTAATTTGTAACGTCATGTTAGCTACGTCACTATCAACTTACTTGAGATAAAGTATTTAACCCGAAAATACATAGATTAACGAGATAGGTAAACAAACTCTAATTAAGAGAAAACAATATACTGTACTGTAATATTAATTGCGATTCATATTAATTAATTATGATTATTATTATTATTATTTATTAAAATATCTGTTTATGTAATGTGAATACGAATAAAGACAAATAAAATTATATTGATAATTGCATAAGTATCGGGCCACTTTTTTACTAAGTAATGACTGGTTCATGCTCGATTGTTCACAGACAATTGTTATCAGTGTATGGTAAGAAAATAATAGATCGCAGTAATGTGCTAAGTTGATTGTAGAGGTTCCAGAGAGGTGATTTCAGCATTCAGGATAAACCACGAAGCGGCACACCCAACCACTGTGACAACCACTGCAACCCAGGAAGCCATTGACAATCTGATTCAGGAAAACAGATGCATCACAATTCCCAAATTATGCATGTCAAAGGAAAGTTTATCTGTAGATCGATGTGACTTAGCTGTCCCCAGATTCGTAGAGAAACTTTGTTACCGATTGTTGACGTAGTAGGGTGTCCATTTCACCAACCATTATGTGTCATCTGCATAAAAAATAAATAGCTGTTAATGATCATTTGGAAGCTAATAGAGACTCCTAAATACCGAATTTCATGCTTCAAACATTACAAATTGCAACGTTATGGAGGATTGTGCGCTACTTATTGACCGACCTTTGTATAATAATATAAGTAAATTTTAATTAGGAAAAATTTTGGAATATTTACTAATGTTTTTTTTCTTTTACTTTGGGCCCAGCGCCTTGCAATGGCGCTGGCACATATCTTGCGGGATTCGCAGCCATTCTTTTGTTAAAATAGCCGTCAATTGAGTTTTGTCCCTTGACTTTCTTTTTCTTGTCTGGAGAATTGGGCGGCCAATCAATAAGCTAGATGTGGTTATTTAACCATGCAGAAATTGAAGATACAGTATGAGCTTTAGCCCATCCTGTTGAAATAGGAAGTCATCCTCAGAAGCAAGTCGGTCGAGAGACGAGAGGAGGATGTTTAATAGCCTCTACTAGTCAACTTTAACACTGATTCATAAGGAAGCATATCGCCTACGCCAGCAATGTTGAAGCATCTCCATATTTACATCTTAAGTGGAAACTTCCTGTTTAATGCAGCTTATCCTTAAGCTTTCGTTTCTAGTTCTGATGACCCTGTGTCTAGAATTTCCGTATAGGACTTCGAAAAGCGACTTGTCAGATCATATTATTCGACGCCAATCCTGATCTGTCCAGTGCAGATAATCCTTATTCCGTTGATATCTATTTTCTTCTGCGTCTTCATTAGAGGGATTCTGTTTGGTTTTGTACGATCTACAGTCGTTCTCTTTTAGCCTTTTAGTGGTCATTTTGATCGAAACTGGCCTATCTTTTATTCTTTATCTTCAATCTTTTATTTTCATAGCGCTGCAGCCTTCGTGTATGTTCCTTGTCGCCGAGCCTTAATTTCTCGAATACGCATGTTATCTTCTCTATCGGACGTAGCCTTTCGCCTTCCACATCTTCTGTTCGGCACAATGGATTCAGTGAAATCGTAATGCTTAAGGAAGACTGGACTGAGGATTCGGGAATGCAAAGGTTTCTTGCTAAACGTTTTTTGACAATCTTCCTCCCGATTTCTAGATATAGCGTCTGCTTTCCCATGTTTGGCAGTACAAAAGACATATTTGGACCTTTGTGGCAAATGAGAAGCAAATTATGCTGATAGAAAATTATAGGGATTGACAGGATACCACCGTTGAACTTCAAGGTCAGGAGATTTTAGAATTTAGAATTTACATATGTTTGTAAATATTGATATGTATATATAAAAATAATTTAATTAATTATACTAAAATATATATTTGTTTTACTACTTAAGAAAATATCGAGTTATTGTCTAATATGGAACAAGATAAAAATACAGTATGTAAACGTGATGGGCTATAGAATTCATTTGATATATACAACTGATGTGTAATCTTTCCTTATATTCTATTTTTTCTCTTTGAAGTAAACCTTTCCGTACCTATTCTTATGATGAGAAAGAGAGATTTTCTTAATTGTTAGTATATCGGTAAATCCATAATGGGAGAAGCCTAGTAGTGAGGGACAAGGTCAAATGTTTCCCAATAAATTTTTTTTATAAAAATTTTTGAAAACTCTTCGCCATACTATTATCTGAAGTATTATTAAATTGTGTTTATATCGTACATTTAAAATTCAAGAAACAAGTTATAGTAAAATTAGAACTTAAACTATAGTGTTCAATTTTTGAATAGTCTGCAACTAAAGAGAGGTCTAGATCCGAAATGCATCTCGCAAAATGATATCACAAAGATTTGATTTGTTCATCTAAATGAAATGCGTTCCTGTTTGACAAGTCCTTGAATTATCAATGTATTATATGATTTAGAAACACAACGTTTAAAGGAAGCTTCAAGTAAAGTATATTATTAAATTATTATTAATTTTTATGTTTTTAACTTTCCGTTCTTGCGGGGCATCTCAGTGCCCTCAAGAACGGAAAGTTAAAAACATATCTAGTATCCTGAATTCAACCAGTCTTATGAAGGAGACAATTGGACGGCGAGGAACCGGCCCTACATATGTGGGACAGACTGTTCCGAAACATTCCTGAAGTTTCTTAATAGCACTAAGTTTCGAATTTTTTAGAATGGCAGCTATCGTCTCTACAGCCTCGGCTTTCTGGCCATCAGTAGTATCCTATCAGAGATGGCCGGATGATCGAGATGGTAAAAGCATAAAACTGCTTCTGATAACATTTAGGTTAAAATCAGAATCGATTCAAAAAATTTGATGGAATAGATTACCTCGGATATATCAACCTCTATATCTTGTCACCAGACCGTCCACATTGTGATCTTGGTTGACTTTATAATGAATATGAAAAAAGCCCTTTTCATGCCCGTGGGGCGTAAAAAGTTAAAATTTGAAAAAAATAACGTTCTATTAGTATAGAGAGAATAGCAAAAAACCAAGCAAAAATCTTCGATATCAATAGGTCTATCTGTTGATTCTGTTTACAGATTCCAACGTTTATCTTTCTAAAAGTTCTAAAGTTCATTGATGAGTATGATAAAATTTGATTTGTCAACAAAAATTCATGGAGTTTTTCGACTATTTCGGATTCAGGTTATTCAGAGCGGTAAGCTGTCATTTAATTGCTAGGCCTTCCATCCGGCATGCAAAGATATTGTTACGAGCTGTGGGGCTCGGGATATAAATTCAGAATACAGTTTACCGAAACTGACGCTTTTTAGATACACTAACTTACAAAAAAAAAAATATCTCTCGTTAAAAATCTCCAACGTTCTCTTTTTCGAATTCTTTTTTTCTTTTTTTTTAAATCATTCTTTTTCATTTCTCCACTCTCTGCACTATGGTGCTAGTCTCCTCCGGAGCCGGCGCAACAATATAAAAAAATCACCCTAAATTTAAAATGATGGTGTAAAAGTGTTATTTTTAGTTTTTAATCTATTTAGAAATATTTCACAGTTCACCAAAGGTTTAAAAATGTTAAATTATATATTCAATTAAAACGTGTTTATATATATTTTTAATGTTTTATTAATAATTACTATACTTTTTTCGAATGAGCAGCCAATGGAGCGCATAATATGAATGCATATACTGTATTATTTTTATCATTTTAATAATATAATATAAAAAATGTATGTTTAAATTTCATTCCACAGTTAACAAGAGAACTTCCTATGGGTATGATGATGGGTTCTTTAGAAACTCTGCAGCTTATTCATAATTTAATTTATGCAACAAATGCAAAGAAAGTACTGGATATAGGTCAGTAAGATAAATCTGTAATTAATGTATATACATATATATTATTTTATCAAAAAATGAAACTGACTTTTCTTGCCGTACATTTATTTATTAAGTTGTTAAGTTTTATGATACTTATGTTGGAAATATTATTTATTAAGGCGTATTCACTGGATGCAGCGCGCTGGCTGAAGCTCTGGCCTTGCCTGATGATGGGAAAGTAGTAGCTTGTGATGTTAATGAAAATTCTGTGAATGTTGGAAAGCCAATCTGGAAAGAAGTCAGTCCAGAAATTATGTTAATATTTATTTTTATACATATAAAGTGTGCCTGAAAAGTTTTCAGACAATCTTTAAAAAGTTAATAATTCTATACAGTATATCAAACGTAATGTGTTGTTAATCTTCTAAATATAGTAGACCCCCAATAACACGGTAGATACGTTCCGTGTTTTATGAAATCCATGTTGTACGAGTCACTTAAATACATGAGCCAATCACAGCACAACACGTATGCAGTTTACGGACTACGGCTGTTTGAAAGGTTTTCTTCCATAAAATTAATCGATTCTACACTAATTTGATTCACCATTTCCAAAACACGTATAATTTTTTGGGAATAATCCATATAAACTATGCTATAAACAAAAAATTGTAGGATTACTTACCGAGTGTGCACCGTTCGACGACGTCATTGTTTAAGCTTGTTTTCGTCGCGGAGCGACGCATAGAACGGCGGGCGCCTGTTTCCTGATAAGTTATTTTTCTGCGAAAAATTCGCTGAACTTTGGAGACATCATTAATATAAATATAATTTTTATGGCCGTTAAATAATAAATGGTTTTTATTAGGTCCGCTGCTCGTTTAAACTTTGTTACTCGTTTAAACTCGGTTTGTGCAATATCTGCTATTGGTCTAGATTCGACCAATCCTGTCGCGACACGAGTCGGCGATGACGTTTCACCGTATTATACGAGTCTCTTTTAGCGTGTTTATACGAATACGATCGCAATTTTTTTCGCCGTGTTATACGAATCTGTATTATATGAACCCGTTTTATAGGAGGTCTACTGTACATATATATTTTTCCTGAATTTGTACTTGTTTGATGTCTCATGAAATTGTTTTATTGCTTTCAGGAAGGTGTTCTTTGGTATGCTCTGAAATTACTTTAAACTAGTCATTACACTTGCCTGAGTGTAATGACTAGTTTAAAGTTTAATGCTAGTTAAAGTTTAATAGTAGTTTAATGCCTGAAAATTACACTTTGTTAGTTTAATGCTGAAACATTACACTTGCCTGAGTTGCACTGATGTTTCAGCATACAGGAATAGATTTGTTTTCATGAATCGACATATGATGTTCATTGTTATACATTCCGTGGAAATGTTTTTTGAGTTTAGTTAATAAACTTGTTGAATCCTTTAAGGTTTACAATTATAAAAAATCCAGCAACAAGTTGCTTAACTTTCCCGGTAACAACATGTAAAATTGCGTGTGGTGTCATCTGTTATGATATTTTATTTTAAAAGCTTTTTATACTTTTAACTGTTATAAAATGGCAAAAAGCGTAATTTTGAGGATAGGGATGAGGTTTATAAAAATTTGTAAATGCTAATAACGAGTAAAATCGTCATTAAGTATGACCATACTAGAGATATGACACGACTGCCTTTATCTCCCCATACGCTTAATCTTTAACTACGAAAATTTAATAGCATCAATTCTCTTAATACACAAACTTCCCTACAAAATTTCTGAAATTTTCGACAAAAAAGCGCAGGTGTAATTAATAAACTATTTAAGAAAAATATCTAATCTGTGTATGTAATCAAGATGGGTTGATGATAATAATAAGCGCAGAGTCCAAACGGTTAGGAGTTGAAAGTTGAAATTTGGTACACAGTTAAGGTACATCATGAGAATGTACACTAAGAAAGAATTTTTGGAAATTTCTTACGCGGGGAAGAGGAGAGGATTAAGGATTATCCTGAAAAACTCGGCTTCTACTGTACTAGTTTAGATGTGATTTTTTTTTTCATTTTTGCGGAAAATCGAACATATTTTTAGACCCATCTAAAAATTCTTTAACTAGTCTTGGAAGTGGGGAGACCTAATTGTTGCACCCGGTGAAAACGGGTAAGATCGGCTATAATCTAATAATATTAATCGTAATCTTTGCTAACGTTACTTTTTGCCCAAGCAAAGCCGGGGTTATATCAACATTTTGGGGCCGATTTTTAACAATTTGTGCCGTGTCCCGCGGCGTGTTAAAAAACTTCCGAGTTTTGGAAAGATTAAGTTTTTGTCAATTATGTGTCATAAACTTATGCCTTATGTTTAAGATTTGTAAAGATCATTTTGTATCGCACGTATCACTACCAAGGTGTGAGTGAGCATCGGAAATAAAGAATGCTGCGTTCGTGCTTTTATGTTCGTGGCAAAGACTGACAGAAAATGGTTTGGGGCACGCAGCTGCAGCAACAGAGCAGCGCGTGTTCACAGGCTGTCTAAACGAGCGTACATTTTATTCGTTGCATGTTATATGGCGCAGAGCTCTGTCGCCCAGTGGCGTAGCGTGGGTGTCAGCCGCCCGGGGCGGAGGAAAATTTCGGCCCCCTTATTTAGGTATTTCAATTTAAAAGACCAAAATTCAGTTTTGTCACAGAACAAGCAATGAAAAATTCGGTGGTAGTGCAGTGACCTATTTAAAATAGTTCTATTGGATATTAGTGGTGTATATGAACGCGAATGAATCGTACAAGCAAAAAAAAAAAAGGTCAACAGGTTTCGCAGGAATTCCTCGGACGAAAAAGTTATTAGTTCACCCGGCGAGCCGATTCCCGGACTGTAAGGACGATAGCACTATCGTAGGCGCGATGCAAGTGTAGATTAGGATGTTTCAAATATTTACAAGATATTATTATTATTTATTGTGAAATTTTGTCGCCCCCTAAAAGGTAATTTTGCCGCCCCTAAAAAGTGCCGCCCGGGGCTGGCCGTCTCTGCCGCCCCCACTACGGTACGCCACTGTATTCCGTGCTCATTTTAATCGGTCTGAATCGTAGGTGCGACGAAAATATCAAATAAAATGGTTTAAATTTTTACAAGATATTATTATTATTTATTGTGAAATTTTGCCGCCCCCTAAAATGTGCCGCCCTACTACGCTACGCCACTGCTGTCGCCACCTTAAAAAGCTAGCGACTAGCGAGAGTAAGCACGTCGGTTTGCATCGTTCTATTGCTAGCAGTGGGGCTGGGGTTCATTTTGGTTACGACAGTATTAAATAATAAAAAAAATTACAATAATAAAGTGACACTCAAGGCAAATTCAGAGGAAAAGTAATACAAGTTAGTATTATTATTATTATTTAGAAAGAAATACAGAAGGATTAAAATAATTGTTAAAATATAGTTTGTCATAGGTACTTTATGACAATCAATTTTTTGTAAAATTAGAAAAGTTTTTTGAAAGAATCTTCAAAAATTTGACTAGAGTTTGTACACAATCAAACAGCTCTTTTTCAAAATGCTGTAAAATTTATTGAAGGTGACAAAATTTCGGTAATCGAAGTAGCAAACGAAATTAAAATTTTAAAATTTCAGTGTCAAGAGCGGTTAGAAAATAATTTTTTTTTCCATTGACCATCCGTAATAGTATAAGTTCAGTTAGAAGAACAAGGTGCAATAAATCGCGCAGATTTCACGAATCACGTCAAAAAGTTCTATAATAACTGCTTAGATTATTTAGAAGAGTGGACGGTACATTACAATGATATTAAACATTTTTATTGGGTTCAAGAACTTAATTGAAAAGATGTGCAAAAATCATTCGATCACATCAGTCAACAGTTTCCAGATAGTAGTCTAATATTTCCGAAAAATGATCTTTTTAATTAATGAGGTATCATTACAAAAATATATATATTGATAAGGAAAAGGTTAAATCTTGGGCATCAGCAAAAACCTCAACAGACAACAAATGGTTAGAAATATTTCATCATTTTGAAACAAACTATGTTCCATACAATAATGCATTAAAAATTGTGGAATACGCGCTGTCCTTACCGGGAACTAATACCGCGACTGAAAGCGTTATTTCTACCGTAAATAAAGTATGGACATCTAATAAATAGCAATTAATTGTTGAGACTTTGAAAACCATATTATATATGAAATATAATTTAACAAATACTTGCGAAAAATTTCATGAAATTTTAAACAACGACAGCAATCTACTAAAAAAAATTTACTCAAATGAGAAAAATGCGAAAGAATAGTTTTTAAAGATTTATAATAGTATATATATTTACTATATTTATAAATTTTACATATGTTGAAATTTTAAAAATATATATAATACAATACCATTTTTGTGTTCTTTGATAATGAAATTTTGTTGCTCTAGAACAATTTTTTCAACAAGACAACCACATCCCCGGTTAATTTTGTCCGGCTTCAGCAATGTTAAAATCAGCAATGTTAAAATCTGGTCACTTTAATATAAGGGGCATTGATGCTATTAAAGGTTGATTGTGAAAGGTCAAGGGATGAAGAGACAGAGGGTGGTCACGTGTTATATCTCATGAGGAGTCAAATTTAATCAAGATTTTACTTGTTAGCATTTATAATGTTTTATAAAACTCATCTCTATCCTCAAAATTAAGTCTTTTGCTATTTTATCGTAATTAAAAATATATAACATTTTAATAACAAAATCGTATAACAAATGGTGCCACATATAATTTTATCAATAGCTATTTATTTTGATTAATAATACAAATGTTATTTTTAAAATAAAATCTCATAAAAGCCGAGAAAGTTACGCAACTCATTGCTAGATCTTTTTTCTTATTTTAGAATTAATGTATTTTTTTCATTCAGGCTGGAGTTTATGATAAAATTGATCTAAGAATTGCTCCAGCTCTCGAAACTCTAGGCAAGTATACTCGAAACTCTTATAATTTTATTCTTTTAATTTAGTAATTTATTATATATTAAGTAACAGTAAAATTCTAAAGATTATTTTTATATTTAATAAAATAATTATTTTAATAGATGAATTGATCGCCAATGGAGAAGCCGGAACTTTCGATTTTGCTTTCATTGATGCAGATAAAGGAAACTATTTGAATTATTATGAAAGATGCCTCGTTTTGTTGAAACCGAGAGGAATCATAGCAGTAGATAATGTAATAAATTAACACTAGCAATTATTTTACAATTACACAACAATTATTTTCACAATTTGTGTATAATATTTTCTTTTGCTTTAGGTTTTAGCGACAGGAAAAGTTGTAGAAAAAGATTGCAATGACGACAGAACCACGTCTTTAAAAAATTTTAATACAGCTTTGAAGGACGATCCTAGAATTAAAATATCTATGTTGTATGCAGGAGATGGTCTAACTTTAGCCTTTAAATTGTAGATTTGCACTACAGCAAATACCTGATGGCTTTAAAATGAATTTCTGAATAAATTGATTTTGATTTTTTTAATGAAATTTTTGGCATTCTTTACAAGTCCCTTTACGAAAGGAAATAGGTTTTAGGAGCATTTAAATACTATACTTTACTAGTCTGATGGCTAATCGGGATATCACGCTGTTTATCTTGAGGTATTACGTAAAACAGGGTCACGCTGCATAGAGACAAAATTGCCACTTTCCGAAGTTTTTATTAAAGGGGCGATAAAAACCGTAGTCTGCTTGTTTCCACATTCAGCGTGAAATCGAATCACAAATTACACTTAAGAAAAAACGACGAAAAGTCTAGCTCACATGGGATGGGAGTCCCGCGCACTACACACCTAGAGATTTCGTGACGTCATGTGGCAAGTTCGGCAGAAAAGTAGGAAGTGACGTTGAGAATCAAACTCGAAAAGCATTTCTAATTTCAATAGGAATCTTAATTCTAAATTTACTGTGAAGAAATTTTACTATGGCTATGCTAATAGTTATGGCTGGTAATGTGCTTAACATTACCAGCCCTATGATAGGGCTGATCAAACCCCGGCCGGCAATAGTATTTTGTGCGACAAAATATTAATAATTTTCCACTTTAAGAAAGTATGCTGCAAAAATTATACAGTTATTTTCTACAACTTATGTATGTGAACAGTTTTTTCTGCAATGAATTCAGTAAAAAGTTAGGTGTCCCTATTTTAAGGCGGTTAATTAATCCCTCGAATCTACCGCGTATATCAAAATCTCGTTAATCAAAATACTTATCTATGTTAAGGCAGCTGGTAAATCCGAGTACTGTATATAAAGGGATTGCCGCAATTAATTTCATGCATTAAGTAAGGGATATCTGTAAAACAAGAAATTGGTTAACAGACTCATTAAAACTAATTTTAAACTAGAAATGACTAATATTCAAAAGAAATATTCTGGGCATATTACTTTCACAGCAGTTCCAGGAGTCAAATTAAATATACTTATATTAATTAATAGTCATATATGTATAAATGATTGTGATTTATACATATATGATCATACGCATTTTTTTTCTTATGTACGGCCCGCATCAATTCAAAAGTTTTAAATGTGGCCCTTACATAGAAAAACATTGTCCAACCCTACTCTATGACATAACTTATTACGATATTCTAATATTCTGACTACGGCGCAATAAAGGAAACATGTAAAAATATTGTACGAGAAACAGTATCAATGGTTGGTAGATAAATTACTGTTAATTTAGCAAATTGTTTTCTTGTATCCTAAACAATCTCAGTTAACTTATGTACAGAACGAGTGCGATGGAACAAAACTTGTAATTTGTACAACGAAAGAAACAAAAGAAATAATAGTTACACGTGTACAGTTTTCGCGAGGAAGACAATAAACTTAGTTGTATTATAACCCTTGTCTCATTCATTCTATCAGCGCAGTGACGAAAATAAGGCAACAGTAGTAGAACCACTACAATGGAATGAAACAGTATCTCCCGTCTTTTATATATTACTCATCTGGATATTGGAACAAAGATGTGGACAAAAAAAATTGTAAGCAATATGCCATTAATGTATATAAATATATATATACAGTAGACCCCCTATAACGCGGGTTCCTATAACGTGGCGAAAAAATTGCGACAGTATTCGTATAAAGACGCTAAAAGGGACTCGTAAAACGTCGTCGCCGACTCGTGTCGCGACAGGATTGGTCGAATCTGGACCAATAGTAGACGAGCAGCTGAACTACTTACACACTACAGAGAGTTTAGGCCAGTAAGTTGAGTTTACTATCGTCTGTACAGTATTATATATAAATTAGGTACTGTACATATAATTACATATTAATTTAACTTAATTTATTGTAACTTTATTATAATTATGTGACAATGCCGAAAAGCCTCCCTATTCTTCGGCACCCCGTGACCGAAGAGTTGACATCGCGTCGGTGAAGATCGCAATGACAAGTTTCGTCAGGACTGACACCACTGTGTCTTCACGGCTAAACACAGAAACCGTTTCGTTCGGGCGTGAGCGGTCGCGTGTGTGAGCGAACAAAGTCGGGATGGAAGGAGAGACAGCGCGCCGGAAGTGACTTACTCAGAGACGCTGTAACGTAACAACTGTTTAATGGTTAACGATAGGCTATACATTAGGGCTGCTGTTAGATACATTTCTCGATTTCATAAGTATTAGATATAAAGATATGACCCGGAGAGAGAGAGTTTACAGAAGTTCGCGTGTCGATAATTACCTTGTATGAAATCCCAAAAGAAGACAGTTCTGGACTCAGAAGACTGAAGACAGTTTTTATTTCCACAGTTATTAGGCGAAGAAATATCCAAAGGCGAGGCACAGGGAAAACTCGAGTGGTCCGATCGAGGAACTGGTGACGACTGCCTCACTTTGTTGTTTGTTTTTCATGTTGGATTGTTGAAACGGAGATATTAGGTCGAAAGGTGCTGAGAAAGCGTCGTTATTAAGCCTGAGAACTTAGCAGATGTTTAGCTCCCAGGTGTAAAAGTTGACAGTTATCAAATGAAAGTATAGCTACAATGTGGTATGATATAAACACATGAAAAGTCCGAATTCGGATCCTCACAATTATATATATACTTTCCGCCGTCTAGCGCCAGCTACGGAGAGTTTAGGCGGGTTAGTTGAGTTTACTATCGTTTGTATAGTATGTAAATTAGGTACCGTAAGACTAATACAGTACTGTAATTTTATACATTTCTTGTGAAAGAAACATTTCTTTTTCAACGCCTATTAAAATTATTTCTATTAATGATGTGTCCAAAGTTCAACGAATTTTTCGCAGAAAACTTATCAGAAATCGCGGTCGCCGTTTGGGTCGCTGCTCCGCGACGAAAACAAGCTTAAGCAATGGCGACGTCAAACGGTGCACACTCGGTAAGTAATCCTACAATTTTTTGTTTATAGCATAGTTTATACGGATTATTCCNCACCCGATTTTCTCTAAGCCTACTTTCGGACTTTTTGTACAAAAGCCTTCAAAAACCATACTTATAATTACACCAGCGAAAAATCCAATTAGGAACATTTAGTTTACTAGTTACCAGTACTTTTCGCACAAAAAATGTGGGTGTAGTTATGATACCTTGTTTACAATTCACTAAAATGTAATTGGGGTTCCATAATACCACCTTCTCCTCTACGTGTTTTGGAAATGTTGAGTCGAATTAGTCTAGAATCGATTAATTTTATGGAAGAAAACCTTTCAAACAGCCGTAGTCCGTAAACTTCACATGTGTCGGGCTGCGATTGGCTTATGTATTTAAGGATTCCTACAACGTGAAATTCTTATAAAGTAGAACGTATCTACCACGTTATAGGAGGGTCTACTGTATATATATAAAGTACAGTCGACCCCCCTATAAGATATAGATACGTTCCAATTTATTAGGAATCCGATTTCTTACAAGTCGTTCCAATCACAGCCCGACACGTGTCAAGTTTACGGACTACGGCTGATTGAAAGGTTTTCTTCCATAAAATTAATCGATTCTACACTAATCCGACTCAACATTTCCAAAATACGTATATTTTTTCGTAGTTTTATAGGAATCGTAATTATAGGGACCGTAATTATAGGGGGGTCGACTGTATTGCTACGGTGCAGAGTATAACGTGTATGAAAAAAAATGTCTCGAGTGCCGGAGAGCGAAACCGAAACAGCAATCAGACACACAATAAACGAGATGTTTATGAAGTGAGTCAGAGTATATATTTATTTAACAGTAAATGTGTCAGTTAAGGCTCGGTCTACTAAACATCTAAAAACGGATAGATGTTACACAGTGTTTTTAACCATACATTGCATTAGAAAACTTATTGAAAGGTATTTAGTCCCTGCAGGGTTTGATGGCCGAGCAGTTAAGGTGGCAGCCTACCACACTACAGGATACGGAATCGTTACAGAAGATCGAGTAATTCCAGGAATTTTTCAAGAATGGTCCGTCCTGGATATGCCCCCGTCCTTCATCACACTTCCGATATATTTTGGATAGACTGAAAAATCCTTGGGGTTCCTTATCTGGGCTGAATATCGAGTCCTCTAGAATGACAGACTACACACTTTACCGTCTTCGCTATCCGTCCATCTTTAGTATCCTATTAAGATGACCGGATGATCGAGTTGGTAAAAGCATAAATCTGCTTCTGTGGGGATTTAGGTTCATAAAATTTAATAGAATGGATTACCTCGGATATATCCTCTTGCCATCAGACCGTCCCCATTGTCAACCTGGTTGAATTTATAATGGATATGAAAAAATGCTTTTTTCATGCTCGTAGGACGAAAAATTTGAAAAAAAGTCTATTACGATAAAGAGAATCGCGAAAAAATCAAGCAAAAATCTTCAATACCAATAGGTCTATTTGTTGATTCTGTTTACCACTTTTAAAATCCATTGTTATTGATGAGTTTGATAAAATTTGATTTATGAACTTCCAAATAAAATATGATTTTGTTAATGTGTCAACGGAAAGAAATTATTCTAATTGAATTATGTCAAGTTTGGCTGAAAACAATATGTAGGATTCCATGAGCAATTAGAAATGTGTAACTTACCAGTATAATATTCGTGATGTAAACAAAAATATTTTACCAGACTATATTTTACTTCTGCCACATATTAGCTAAATACAAGTTCACGAAAGTACAGTCGACCCCCTATAACACTGTTGATAATTCCGTGTTACATGAATTCCATGTTGTACGAGTCACTTAGATTTTACAAATACGTGTGCCGGGCTGTGAACGGCTCACGTATTTGTAAAATATAAGTGACTCGTACAACATGGAATTCATATAACACGGAATTATCAACAGTGTTATAGGGGGGTCCACTGTATAGTTAATCTTACCATAGTACCATAGTAGACTGTTCGATGGCGATCCTTGTACAGTTAATTAAAATACTCAAAAGGAAGACGGCTGGACACTGTTAACAGTATGAAATATTGATAGATTTATAAACAGTAATAATAAAGCAGTTATATTTCATTTTAAATCTAAGATTT